GATAAAGAGAAGATAAAATAATAGAGATAACACAAACTCAAGACATTTTTTAGAGGGATTTTTTTGATAACTTTGAGATCAAGCAGATGAAGGTAATCTGATTACAGGACACTGGTGGGTCAATGGATGGAATTTGTTAGAGAGAACAAGGCAATGTTCGGGTTACAGTACTGTTGAAGTAGTAATCGTGTACTGTTTTTTCCTAGCTCTTTACAACTGTTTGAGAACCGTTGCCACAACCGGTATTGGTACTCTTATTAGATTATCACTGTTTGAGAACCATTGCAAAAATGGCGCTGTCACTCCTACAAGATAGCCACTGTTTGATAAGCTTTGAAATAATTGGTGCTGTTATTCCTAGCGCATAACAACTGTTTGAGAACCGTTGCCACAACTGGTAGTGCTACTCCTATTAAAGGCTGCCACTGTTTGAGAACCGCTGCCATAAATGGTATTGTCTCTCCTATTAGATTGCCAGCGCCGATTACTCGGTACTCGCCCGCCAAATACACAAAGGGGGAGGTAATAATCAATAAGCACGCCATCAGTTGTTCTCTCCCCTCCAGTCTCTAATCACTTGTCACAAAATTGGTGGGCAAACACAGACAACACCAAGGGGTTGGGGGGGAGTTTGGGGGCGATTGGGGGGGGTAAAGGGGAGAGTCGTACAATCCAAGAACGCCGTGTTTCAAAACCTCAGTGGGTACGCCCATGGCTAACAACTTCGTTGAAGTGATGTTTAAATAAGCAGAGAGAGAGAGAGAGAGAGGAGGGAGGAGTTGTAGTAAAGCCAATGAATCCAATGGCGTATCGCTGGTAGTCCGCAGGATGTTGTGACGGGACCGTGAGTGCTGAAAGGTGATGCTGTACAATACTTATCCTGGCATTATAGAATCATAAGATGTGTATAGTGTGCGTGGTAGGACATTGGGTTAGTTGTGCATAGTATTCGTTGTAGGACATTGGATTAGTTGTGTATAGAATTCGTGGTAGGACATTGGATTAGTTGTGCATAGTATTCGTGGTAGGACATTGGATTAGTTGTGTATAGTATTCGTGGTAGGACATTGGATTAGTTGTGTATAGTATTCGTGGTAGGACATTGGATTAGTTGTGTATAGTATTCGTGGTAGGACATTGGATTAGTTGTGTATAGTATTCGTTGTAGGACATTGGATTAGTTGTGTATAGAATTCGTGGTAGGACATTGGATTAGTTGTGCATAGTATTCGTGGTAGGACATTGGATTAGTTGTGTATAGTATTCGTGGTAGGACATTGGATTAGTTGTGTATAGTATTCGTGGTAGGACATTGGACTAGATGTTTATAATGTAAGTGTTAGAAGATTAGATTAGATGTGTATTAATATATGATACATGTGTTAGGCCATTGGATTTGATTTGGATAATATATATGGTTGGGGCATTAGATTTGATGTGTAAAATATGTGGTAGGACATTGGATTAGATGTGTCACATGGTAAGGCATTGCATTTGATGTTTATTATATACATTGGTAGGTCATTGGATAAGGGCTTTCTAAATAAATATATGTGTTGTATAGTATAGACTTGGATATTGGATTAGATGGTGAATAGGGTGTCTCATTCAATGGTCATGATGTATTTCTCTTGTATATTGATGATAACATGGATATGCCCATAATATGACATGGTCATGTGATGCTAACATTTCCTGTGTGATGACATGGTCATGTGATGCTAACATTTCCTGTGTGATGACATGGTCATGTGATGCTAACATGTCCCGTGTGATGACATGGTCATGTCACATAATGATGTGATGAATTTTATTTTTAAAACTTTTTTTTTCATTTGAAATGTTCAAGTTATTATATTAAATGTAAGATTCCTTCATTATCTTAAATTGAATCCTTCTGTTCACAGGCACTGCCAAATCAGGAGTTAAAGCAGCCACTGATCAACCTGATGACACCAGTCAAGTGACGTCAGACAGTGGAGCAGACGAGGAGGATGAGGACACAACCTCAGATGAAGAAAATGTTGAAAGGGAGGCTGAAAGTCCAGCATCGGACGTACTCCATGTTCACGACAACGGAAGTGACATCGTAGGAGGAAGTGACATTGTAGGGGGAAGTGACGTCAGTTTAAAGGAGGAGGGCGTCAGCAGCCCAGAGAAGGAAGAGAGGGCGGGTGATGACCGAGACCCCTCAGATGTGAAAACTTCTCAAAGTGCGGACTTTCAAAGTAGGTTGCCATCTGGGGTTTCACGTGTGGGTGACAGGGAGGCGACCTGGGCAACCCAGTCCTCAGTTTCCACTGGTAATTCATCCAGCATCAAGTACAAATATTCCTCCAAACTTTCGCCACCACTTGTCTCCCCTTCTCAAAGACCAGGTCTTCCGCCGTTAGACCAACAGATGGCGCTGGTCATGTCCACCTTGCCACTGGGGCTTCTGTCAAAAAGGAAGAACTCCTCTTCCAGCCCCCTTGATTCCAGTTTGAACTTCTTCCCAGTGACGTCTTCAATCCATTCAGATGAGCAGCCTTTGGACTTGTCCACCAAGCCTGAGAAACTGTCCCCTCCTGCATTCCAAGACAAATCTTCCAGAAATATTGACTCGCTGAGATCCACCTCTGCTTCGATTGGCTCCAACGGATTCTCTAGTCTACAGAGCCTTCAGCAGAGATTTGGGGGCGATTACCCCCTGGAGCTGTCGCAAAAATCTGGAGCGTCTGTGATACCTCTCCAGCCCAGCATGTCCCACAAGTCGGCCATTGCTCCGCATGCTTTGCCCATTCACGGGGACTCTTTATTACGCGCAGCATCCGGGAAATCAAAATCAACCCCTCGTACAGAGTGGCTTGAAAGGCAGGAAATGGTCAACTCCAGACTGTCCTCGCCATCTCCACTTTCAAAAGGAGACAACTCCAGACAGTCTTCACCTTCGCTGGGCGACGAACCCGGCTTGGAGCAAGGGAGCAAACACACAATCCATCGTTGCTCTTGTCAGAAATCTTTCAACACCCTTTACGCCCTCAGCCTGCACCTTCAAGAAACTGGACACTCGCCGGGGTCCAGCAAGGCTGCATCGCTGATGGACTACCCCAAACTGGTCAGGGGCCAGGATATGTGGCTCAATCAGGAATCCGAGCAGACCAGGAGGATACTTAGGTGCATGCAGTGCGGGGAATCCTTCAAATCACTTCCGCTGCTGACGGTGCACATGATGCAGACTCAGCACTACACCAAGATTGTCAGCTCGGACCATGGCAGGCGTTCCCACAAGTGCTCGACCTACTGCGACAGGGAGCTGGACAAAGAGTGTATTTTCAAATGTAAAGTTTGCCACGAGGCGTTCACGGACATGGAGGGGCTGGCCAATCACATGATTGTGTCCGGTCACCACAAAAAACAATCTTCGCGTCAGAATCCTATTCCAAATCCATCAGGTTTCTCCGAAGGACCCGGTTCCCTCTCAGCGCTTGCTCGCCAAGGCAGACGGAAGAGATTTCTCCCCGAAGATGGGGCTGCCATGTCTAGTTCTAATGCAGCCACAGTCGCATCTCTGCTTGAGTACAGACGCAAGCAATCAACTGAAGCCAATGGCTTTCATCCAGACTACAAGACCTCCTCCTCATGCGGATCCGTTGCTGGTACAAAGTCTCCAGACTCTCGGCCTCTAAAGTTAGTTTTGTGCGACAGCTGCGGTAAACGCGTGGAGATTCACGAATTTGATGTGCATGTCAGGGCTTGTCTTAAACAGAGGGCAGAGGTCATCGACGCCCTCAAAAGCAAGCTGGCAGCAGAAGAAGCTATCCTGTCACGGTCAGAGAGCAAACTTCTTCGCTCTGGATTTAACTTGTCATCAGTGACCAGGTTTCATGAAGAGCTTTACCCTAAATCCAGCCCTGGTGATAAAGAATCGCTTCAACCAGGTAAAGAGATCCATATTTCTGAGGAGAAGGTAAATTCTAGCGAGTTTACTGTACAAGTAAAAAAAGAGATTATGTCCCCTGAAAAGAGAAGTTCCACGGAGTTGAGGTACGCATCCAAGGCAGGGGAGACCAGTGTCAAAAGTTGTGATCCTCCAGAAGTGCCTCTAAAGAAATGGTATTGTTCTGGTGAGGAGACGCATCAGACAACCTCCAGTGATGGGGAAAATGTGGCCACCAAACACGACAACACCTCTTCTATCAAAACACCTGAGTATCCTATGGAAGGAAAGGCTTGCGATGGTGTAACTAGAGTCAAAAGGGAAGATAACTCCAATGATATCGACCCTGACGGCAGGGGTTCATCTGGTCTGTTGTTTGGAAAAAAAAGAAAATTATCCGAGTCAGAGTGTGGTGACGACCATCGCAGCAGGGCGGATGAGCTAAGTTCAAGGCCGCGGTCAAATCTAGTGACAAGCACACAGGAGGAGTCTTTGGATTTTACAACTTCAGCCTTACATAAACTGGACATGTTCTCCCGCGGTCTTAAATTCTCTCCTCCAAGACGCAACCTGTCCCCTGACCAGCACAGACTTCCAGCACATCATATCTCAAGAGTGAGCAAGAAAAAGGTGTCCTACAACAGTCTGGGACACAGGAGAGATGTAACGAAATCCCCTGTCCCTGCGTCATCCCCCTCGCTTTCATCCCATCTCAAAACTGAATCACCAGAAAGGCAGAAAAATGAAGTGACCTTTGACATCATCGACCCCAATGCCGTGGCGGAAGGTAGTGAGTCCAAGTCGTCTGCCCTTGAGGCCATGGAGACATTTATTCACAAGAGCTTCAGCGCCAAATCTGATCTACGCACATCAAACTTGGCATCGATGTTCAGCCCATTCAGGAATTGCTTCCCCCTGCCGGGAGGCTTGTCTGGTCAGAGTGGTCTCCCCGACGTGTCAGACACTGCCATGTCCCACTTTGCAAAGTTTTCTAAATTTTTTAGAATGGTGCCTGGGGCTCCTTCATTCCCCGATGTGGTTGCACCCAACCATCAAGATGGGTACTTAAGTACGGGGTCTTCTGACATGAAACAAGTCACTGGCCTCGACAAGGCAGCATCTGCCCTCTGTAAGAAGCTTCCCAGCAAACCTTATACATCCACATCTTCCATCAAAGTCCCTGTGGTTAAATTGCCTCCAGAAATATCTGCAGAGAGCACAAGCTCCACAAAAACTCAGGACGATGGTCATTGTTCTAAAAAATACAAGTACAGTACTATGAACGCTTTCGAGGCCTCGAATTTCAACGCTAAATTTCACAGACATGGAACATCCGCATCTTGGAACACACACAAAGGGTTGTCGGCCATCACAAAGGAACGTCTTCCACCTTCATTGGAATCGGATAAATCAAATGATGACTTTCACAGGAAACGTAAAAATGGATCCACTTCAGAGCTTTTACGTGAGTCAAAGAAGTTGAATGTCAAGTTGGAAAATGTGAGTGACACTGATCCTGAGGAAGAAGTGAAGGTCAAAATTGAACAAACTTCAGATGATGAGGATTACCATAACAATGGTGATAGAACAAAGAGTGAACATTCAAGCAATAATGATTGCAATACTGGTGGCTCAAACCACACAGACGAACCCAGTGCTAATCCAGGAACACCACAAGCAAAAGAATTTCACCCTGGGAAATCCTATTCTAACAATTCCGAGCAAAAAACTGTCAAACCGGAAGTTTGTGACAGCGTCGGCTGTCACTCAGACTCTGACGAGGTAGGCTCTTTTGGCTTCAACTCTGAACAGAAGCAGAACTACCGGCAATATGTCAATAAGGGAATCAAAAATGTGTCAACCGTTCGTGACATCAGGGAGGCAGCTACCGACTACACGGGCAATGATGGGGATGACGAACCGTCACCATCGTTCGTGGGTAAATTGAAAATCCAACATTGTGATGAACCATCACCATCTTATGGGGGGCAATGTGATGAGTCAGATTCAAATTCTGGGATGAGTGAAGCTTCTAACCATTCTAATTTCCAGAATGGTTCGGATTCTCTTAAAGGGTGTGGATCTCTTCAGGCCGATTGCCAGAGAAACAAGGACCATTCGCTCGATCCCCCAGAAGAAACTGATGGCAGTAAAGTTAACTGTCTTTTCAGTGATACCAGACAATGTGATGGAGTAGATATACCAACAAGGGTGAGGCCTGGCTCAGAGAAAGACAGATTAGAAAATAAAGAAAATAAAAGTCAAATTGAGGACAGTGTGGTAGGAGAAGTCAAAGTGAAAGCTGAGGATAATTTTGAAACGGATGATAAAACGGAAGCAGCACATTTGAAAATGTCTTCACCAAATAGTAAGAATTATGTGAGACGGGAGAAATCCAGGTGTAATGGTGAGGAGGATTTCAGTAAAAGTGGACAGCGCTTGCAGACACAGGAGGCGCTCTCAGAAAGTCACAGCGGTACCCCGAGGTCTAAACCAGGGGAGGCGGACGTTTTAAAATCTGGGACATCAAGCGGTGAAAGTGGACAGGAGTTGTCACCCTCTGTGTGTGACAGCAGCGGAGCCAGCTCACCTGTCAGTGCTAAATGTGTACCTGAGAGCAATGGACTTTCAGATAGATCAAAAGCCAAAGGTCAAAGTGTCAAAGGTGAGCATAGACACAAGAAGCAATCGGCTCTGGATTCTCTGAGCTCTTTTGTATACAGCCAGCCACTGACCAGCGAGCACCCACTGGACAGCCTCCAGAGACTTCTGTCCACCAATGACCTTACACAGCTTCCGCACGAGTCTCACAAAAACCCGGCCACAACTTCCTACAAATGCTTGACCCCTGACCCCCCAACACCGCTGAATCTGACCACTAAATGTGGTGGGGCGGGGGTGAGCGGCGGGTGCTGCAGCAGTGATGAGAATGATGAGGGTGACATCGGGCTGGCAGAGGGGGGCGGGGCCAGCGAGGGGGAAATCAGTGAGTATAAATGTGCCGCCTGCAACCGAAGATTCGCCTCGAAAGGATCCTACCGTTACCACCTAAGCCGATGCCATCTGTCAAGTGTGAAAAAGTTTGGAATCAAAGAGGCTTTCAATATGAGCCCGTATGTGTATTTGCCACTAGACCACACAGCCAAGTTTTCAAAATATTATCAAATGGCACACGAACTTGCCAATAAGGGAAAATAACCTAACCAGAGCTCTGAAGGGGAAGTAATAAGTTTTGTTCATCTCATGCAGTGACAATGAAGAGCTTAAAGGAATAAATGCGTAGCAGAGACATTCGTTGGACATGCCTGTGAAGGATATTATATTCTAATTAATAAATATTTTATTTATATTATAAAAACAAATAAGCCAAACAGGCCAAAAGTATTGCTTAGTTTGAAACTTGTATTCTGAGCAGCAGCCATTATTTGCTTTTGTTAAAGAAACTTAGCCAGTTTATTTTTCTAGTCAAGGCATTTTTAATATCTTAAAATAATTTGATCTGCAAAACTCTTCTGGTATTATATGAATTAATTAAAATGGTATGGAAAATTATTTTGCTTATGAGGCTTATTTAGCTGATATAAAGAAAACTGTTTAAACCATCATGTTGGTCTTTTCTGGTCCTCACTCTTATCTCCTGATGTATTTTTATTCATTTTTTAATCTTTTGCCAAATTGGAATAGCTTGGCTTTAGATCTGTGTATTTGTTCAATATTGCCAGGTCAGCATTCTGTGGGTAAACAACAATTCCAGTGTCATGATTCCTAACTAAAAATCAGTCTGCTGATGTCTGTGTGTGTAACGCGGCCGTGAATGAAAGTCTTGGCCTTTTATTACAAAGTGCAATCATCCTCTACCTCAAAGTAAACATGAAACCAGGTGTAGAAATAGATTTAAGTGGTGGGGAAATGCAGTTTAAAATTGATCACAAATTTCAGCTTTTATGTCTTGAATTCATGTCTCCATAGGTGTAATGCTTCATGTGTCTATGATTTTGTCTTTATGACCATATCCTTACCTTTAAACTTCATTGCCGTGTTTAGATAGACAAATTATATTTAAACATATAGCCTAATATCTATACTTAACAGAGGAAAACTGGTGGGTTTTTTTTTTTAAATTATTATTTGACATTACATTTTAGTCCATAGTGTTTTGGAATTCTTATGGCCAGCTAATCCCTCATGAAGATTTTCATGACCTAAATACAAATCTTAACATAACATACTCTGGCTTAAGCCAAAATCTCAAAGCTGAAATAATTATATATTTTTTTCAAATCTGGTTATCTGACAGTGACTCTTTAGATGTGCCAGCTCTCTCAGTATCTTTTTAAACCTGCTTAATATTCTGTGGGGGCTAACAAAATCTTATAAACAAAGAACTATCTGATTACCTATGAAATGATCACATCGTCTCATGTTGTTTCAATTTAATTATCACACTGTCACATGTCAATTCAATTATCACATCTTCACATGTTGTGTCAATTCAATTATCACACTGTCACATGATGTGTCAATTCAATTATCATACCGTCACATGATGTGTCAATTCAATTATCACACCATCACAATTTTGTGTCAATTCAATTATCACACTGTCACATGATGTGTCAATTCAATTATCACACCATCACATGATGTGTCAATTCAAAGGTTGCTTGGTTAAAATTGAAGTTATCAAATGAAAAAGAAACTAAATGAAATGGGATCAAAGACTAAATGAAATGGGATCAAAAGAAGACTAAATGAAATATGGGCTTGAGTAGTGGCTTGTTTTCAGTCTAAGATTCTGTCACTGGGGTTTTAAGATCACCCGATTTCTACATGCCTCAATAATTATACAGTTTGAATGACTTGATATGGTTTGTGTTGCTTCATTCCATCGGATGAATGTGTGCTGACAGATGAATGTGTGCTGACAGATGAATGTGTGATGACAGATGAATGTGTGCTGACAGATGAATGTGTGCTGACAGATGAATGTGTGCTGACAGATGAATGTGTGCTGACAGATGAATGTGTGCTGACAGATGAATGTGTGCTGACATACCAGCTGACACCTTCAGATGTACAATACAAAAGGTCCAATGACTACTAAACTGCACAAGGCATCGTATGTTTGTTCTGACCCCAAGCTTAATGGCCTGACCCCAAGCTTAATGGCCTGGCCCCAAGCTTAATGGCCTGCCCCCAAGCTTAATGGCCTGGCCCCAAGCTTAATGGCCTGACCCCCAAGCTTAATGGCCTGACCCCCAAGCTTAATCCGGACTGGGGGTTCGAATTACCGGTGACCCCCAAGTTTAATGGCCTGGCCCCAAATTTAATGGCCTGACCCCCAAGATTAATGGCCCGACCCCAAACTTAATGGCCTGACCCCAAAGCTTAATGGCCTGACCCCAAACTTAATGGCCTGACCCCCAAGTTTAATGGCCTGACCCCCAAGTTTAATGGCCTGAAGTTTAATGGCTTAAATAAACAAAAATGTCATTGATCCTGTCTATTTATAAATCTGTGCATGTATCTCCAGGTCTTTGATCTGCCCTGACCATGAAAACCACTCCTCAAATTTCTGGGCAATGACCACCAAAGTCTGACCAGAGTTACCCCATTTATTTAGAGCATAATTTTTGCATTTACTGTACATGTAAACTAATGGCCTTATTGTCATGTGACCACTTCTATCATGTGACCACTTAAAGTGTTTATTTCATTTTCTCTGGTTCTGATACATATTATGAAACCACTAGATACATTATTGATTGCTTTAAAGCAAGATGATCCCTTGAGCATTGTGAAAGGCAGAGTAGGCAGCCATCAGTTTATATTGTTCATGACCTTAAAAAGATAATAAAAAAGATGGGTTTTTGTTTTACCATTCTTTTGTTTCCCACCCCCCTTTTTTTTTCCTCATTTTTTTTTCGTCCTTTTTTTTTGGTGTTTTTTTCAGTGTTTGACAAGACAGGGGCCACAACTGTATTTTACTTAAACTCCTTTCACTCAAGCAATAAATAAATAGTTAACAATTCTATCACTATGGATACTGAAAAACTCATTCTTGTAGCATTTATGAGTCCAAAGTAAAAAATATTATGAGAATCATTTTGTTTTTTTTGGTGTTTTTTTTCCATCTTTCCATGTGCAGTATTTAGTGACAGGTTTGCCTACAGAGACCACAGTGATGTTTAATTGTCTAAAACAAACCTTATTTTGGTTTTTGCTGAGTTGATGAGGAATCTGCTTTTCTGACACACTTTCCTTTTGAAGAGAGAGAGATTGGCAACACACCACTTCAATGCACTTTGTGAGTGCTGGCTGCTGACTTTGTGAGTGCTGGCTGCTGACTTTGTGAGTGCTGGCTGCTGACTTTGTCAGTGCTGGCTGCTGACTTTGTCAGTGCTGGCTGCTGACTTTGTCAGTGCTGGCTGCTGACTTTGTCAGTGCTGGCTGCTGACTTTTTTATGGCTGGCTGCTGACTTTTTCATTGCTGTCTTCTGACTGCTGACTTTGTCAGTGCTGGCTGCTGACTTTGTCAGTGCTGGCTGCTGCATGTTGGAAGACAAAAAAAATTTAAGCGGGAGCATGTTGAAAGAAAACTATTTGTTGAAACTGTGCATTTTTTTTAACTGTGATTTTTTTCTATTGTGTTTCATTTACCAGTGTATATATAATTTAATATATTCTGCTTGACAAGGCTTGTTTACATCAAGAATGTTATTGTAAATTAAGGTTATACATGTGCACTTGTACATAAAGATTGTGCATGTTTTAAGTAGTGTGTGTGTGTACCAGAACTATCATTCATTGAGAACGTCAAATGTGTTCTTCTAATGAAATGTCTTCTTGATTGTTTCATGATTTTCTTCCATTTTGTTTTTTTGTTTGTCTCAGTTTTAATTTGAAGGACTTGATATTTCTGCATTGCCTTATGACATCTCCAGAGGTATTTTCATCCAATAGTAATAATGCACTGAGGTCTATTACATCTTACCACCCAGGTGATGGAAAGTCAAGGTATACATTAAGTTTAAGATCACGTCATCCATAACGTTTTAGCAAGATTCAGGTTTGTAATGACATATCATGTCAGATTTCTCTTTCTCTCTCCCCCAACCACCCCCCCCCCCACCCACATTAAAAGACGAAACAATAATTAAAGGGTCAATTAATGTAGTTCCATAATATGATGACCACAAGTAAAAATGTCATGAATACTTACTTGAGCTATTTTCATTCCACAATAATCTTGAACATCTGATTTAATATATTTATCTAGTCAACAAACCACAAGAATATTCTCTGCTCATATTTTATTTAACGTACTCAAAAATTAGTTGAGTTCAAAAATAACAAACATAGTGAAATTAAAGGTTTTATAGCAAACAAACAGGCTTTTTGTAACAAAAAAATTCCTTGTCAAGCGAGTCGTTTCAAATCATAACATTTATCTATCATAGAAATTGTATTTTCTTTCAAAAATAGTTTGCTGGAAGTTAAAAGTTATCTGAAAGAATGTCTTTCCAAGGAAATATAATATAATCATATTGAATAATTTTTTTACCTTGTAAGTGCTAAGAGTTTAGAAATTGTTATAGGGTAGTGGTCGGCAAACTCATTTGTCAAAGGAGCCAAAAATCAGCGGCGGGACAATTTAAAAAATTTTGAGAGCCAAATTTCTTTTCAAGAACCTGTCAAGAACCATGTTTTTTTCTGAGTCAAAACCAATTTTCAGTTGACTGGCCGAGCCGCACTCAGGTCGTTAAAGAGGCGCAATTTGCCGACCACTGTTATAGGCATCAAGTAACCTGATTCTTATAAAAGTGTATGCTCTTTTTGGCTATTTGTTGAGACATTAACCGATACCCACCTTGTTATCCAATTACTGTTTTTTAAAATTTATTTTATGTATTTTTCTTACTCTGTAAACTTAGCCATTCTCTTCAGTTTGATTGATGTATGCCACTACCAAACATTTATATAAAAAAATTTCCTGAGCCAAAATTTCTTGCAAACTGAAAAGCATATTGAAATCCTCCGCTATACAACTTTAGCCATCTGTATTACTTGTCCCGATATTCATGGCATATCAGCTTGTTACCCCAGTTATTTTACAATGTCCCATTTTAACCACTAGTGCTTTTTATTCTATACAGAATATTTTACACAAGTCCAGCTTACTTATATTAACTTTATTTGTGTCCAAATTAACGCCATTATTTTTGTTTGAATTATTATTTATTAAGTTATAATTTTTAAATCATCCACATTCTTTCTGGTTATAAATTATTTCTTCATTTTTTTAAAAAATGTTTACAAGTAATATAAGATAATGAAATTTGCAAAGGTCATTTTTGCAAGCGTTTGAAGCCATTAGTATTATTCAGCTTTGCTTTGGGTTGATTAACTTTTCTGGATCTACTCATGTTCACAGCATTGCCATTTTTTTTATGTGATTAGAATTTTGGAAACTATATAAGTTGCATTTTATGTAAGTGCACTATTATTTTTTTCATAACCAAGCCAAATCATAAATATGCAAATGTTACGAGAAGTAACTATCTTCCTGTTTATCCACCCAGCAATGGCTATGACATTTTGTTTGAATTATTAATTCATCATGAACACAAGTGCTCAGCAGTCACTTACATAAAGATTTATTTTAAAGAAATAGTAATTTCCTTCCTGAAACACACAACTTTGGGAAAATTATTTTGTTTTGAAGGTCCTCGTCCACAGTGAGTTCCACACTGTATCACTTTTGACAATGATTTATATCCATGCATCTGTCTGCCACTTCCTTCACGGCACTTTCCATGGTTGTCTTACTTTCTAAGATCCATTCAAAATATCCCGCTCCAAGCAAGTACTCCTTGCTTCCGCTATTCCTTTCCTTGTGATTAATGTTTAAATTATTCGCTGAAGTGGCAGACATAAGATGTGCCCTGCAAAACTCTATTTCGTAGTTCAACTTTTTTTTTAAAAATGTCTTATACCTCTGCTATTTTTGTGCAAAGAATTTGAGACCCTGATTTTAATACCCTCTCTGGCGTTAAGAATCCAGTTCAGTAAATCCCCTTTTAGTACTTCACAAGTGTGCACTCGCCACTGCTACCCCTCCCCTTTCCTCCATCATGGTTACAATCAGGAATTTCTGCTTGTTCAAATTTTCTTGTTAAATCTTTTATTATTATTGGACTCAGCATTTACTATATCCTCAGACCCATATTTTATCAGCACTTCTACTTGATTTCAACCTGCCACTTGGCTCATTTAAACTCTCTTGTGTACATTTTCACTGCCCAATATTTCAATCAATGATCTGCCATACTGGTACATATTTTTAAAAGTTTTTTTTGTAAATTGGATATGATTTCTTTTACATGCTTACACATCAACTTGTGCTTTTTCTTTCTTATGTTGAAATCCTGATGAATTATGTCTGTACTGTCAAAGTGTTGGTTGGCTATATCACTATTGTAACTCTTACAAACAATTGTAATAACTGTTGAAATGTATTTTTAAAAATATTTCAATGATGAAATTCCTTCTGTTACATTTTTTAAATTTTTATTTATTTTACCTTGAACTTACATGTACATACCAATGCACCTCTGCAAAATTAGGTCTGGCAAGTTTGAAATTTTAAGAAAATATTTCATTACAGAAATTGATGTTGCATTTATTATTTTTTACTTGACAAGATCATTGCATCATGGTCTAGTTTTATTCATTTTAAATTTCCCATCTTCTACTTGTTATAACCCAATATGTGCCAACTTTCCAAGATTGCATCTGCATCAAAATTCTTTACTTGTAGTTCTACTTCACATCATGTGACCATTTCAATCACTGTAGTTGAATTTGAAGGGTGAGAAGAGTGTCCCGAATTCCACATGTTTAAAATCCAGTTTTTGTCTTTGTCTTCAGTTAATAATTTGAATAATCACCACCTCTCATTATCACAGAATCCTGTTTATTTTCGCTACTGTAATACTCTTCTAACGAACTGTTTTTGTTGCTAGATTCTGAGATCAGACTTTATTTGCGTCTACATCTCTATTTAGACTCTTAACTCTGGAGCCTTTCTCATTTAACCAACAAATAATGATGAACTCACATAATTATAAATTCAAGTAATGCTGAACTGCTGATTGGAGTTTTTAGTCCCTAGTCTTCATTCACTTTTTTCTCCCCTTCAAATTAGCAACTTTTACAAATTTCATTACAACAACAAGCTTGACCTTCTATTAACTTCCATTTTCTCTCAAGTCAGTGTTCTACTATGACTGGCAATTCTTGTTATATTATCATGTGTGTATGGCCGAGTGCGTTATGGGTGAAGACATTAACCACTTCCTGTTTGTACTTTATTTTCTTTTTAAAAAATGCATAAATTAACATGATGTAAGAAAATGATTAAAGAAAAAAACTATACAACTTGTGATCACATGACTTGGATTCTTTTTTTGTTGTTGTTGCAAAATGAAACTAAACAAAATTGCATATATAATAATATCTCTATCTATAGACACTTACAATATACATTAAAAATCATTGTAAAGTCATGTAACCCCACTTCCAAATGATGGCTTGTTACTATATAAAGTGCATCTTAAAAATGTAATGACAGGCATGAACGCTAAAGTCTTTATTTCAACAACAGAAAACTAAGACTTGGCAAATATCGCTTTTTAACTTTTTGAGGCAAAATTTACATATGAGCAAAACGGTCCACAATGTCATTGGGTCCATTTAACCAATCAACTCTTGCTACTGACAACATACAGTTTCTCTGCACATGCAGACATAGTACACCAACAGAATTATCTGACAAGTATCCACATAAATAAATTCATTGAAATTTCAAGGAAATGTCCAAACTGGTCGGGATTTTTAAAAATAGCAAGAGATCAGTCAGCATAGAAATTGTCAGAAACGTGATGACATCATTTATAAATAATGATTGCCTCAATAAATGAAAATAGTTTTTTTGTTTTGTATGTACAAACATTACAGCATGCGTCCTGATTTTAAATGGAAACTTTATAGGACATTAACGAACAAAGTTAAATATTTCACTGTACAAATCTGTTACTATAAATATATTTTGAGTGATCACTCTGTACATATTATTGTGCAACCCGCAGATCAAAATATCAGGCTGGCAATTACAGATTTAGCAATCTCGACAATGTTCTATAATTTATTCGTCCAAAGTTTGGAGAAAAATCTTAAGAAATCAATTGTTTAAATTTTTAAATGATAATAAATGACATGTCACTATTTTATGTCAATGATAGCAAATGACATGTCACTATTTTATGTTAATGATGATCTTTGATTACAATGACAGTAATTTCTTGTAAAGGAATGTGCACTTGGTGTCTGGTTTTAGAACAATATTTTCTGAGTGGCCAATCAATTTCATAATGTTGTGAGCGATCAATCAAATTCACCACATTTTGAGTGGCCAATCAATTTCACCATCTTATGAATGGCCAACCAATCAATTTCACCATCTTATGAATGGCCAACCAATTTCACCATCTTATGAATGGCCAACCAATCAATTTCACCATCTTATGAATGGCCAACCAATCAATTTCAACCAAAACTACCAACATGTTTTAGGAAATAAATAATAATACTGAAATAATTCCTTCTTCATCTTTTTATCTCCACTTATTCTCTCAGCCTCTCTCTCTCTCTCTCTCTGTGTTATTCTCTCTGCCTCTCTCTCTCTCTCTGTTATTCTCTCAGCCTCTCTCTCTCTCTGTCTGTTATTCTCTCTGCCTCTCTCTCTGTTATTCTCTCTGCCTCTCTCTCTCTCTCTCTGTTATTCTCTCTGCCCCTCTCTCTGTTATTCTCTCTGCCTCTCTCTCTCTCTCTCTGTTATTCTGCCTCTCTCTCTCTCTGTTATTCTCTCTGCCTCTCTCTCTCTGTTATTTTCTCTCTGTTTCTCTCTCTCCCTCTCTCTCTGTTTTTCTCTCTCCCTCTCTCTCTCTCTCTCTGTTTTTCTGTCTCTCTCTCTCTCTCTTTTTCTCTCTGCCTCTCTCTCTCTGTTATTCTCTCTGCCTCTCTCTCTCTCTCTCTCTCTGTTATTCTGCCTCTCTCTCTCTCTCTCTGTTATTCTCTGCCTCTCTCTCTCTGTTATTCTCTCTGCCTCTCTCTCTCTCTCTCTCACACCAGTATCTTTTTAGTGTGCTCAAAAGAATGCACTAAACATTAGAGGTCCTCACATTTGTTGCATGGTTCAACTGTTTGATGACTTACAATTGAAGAAAATGGAAACATCTTGGTCCAGATCAGAAGCATCAGAAGATCAGAAGCATGTCCAGCAATGTTGATTACAAATTTTACTTTAGACTTTAACATTTCACTTATTCAACAATAAGCTCATCCACCATAGATCACAAAAGCAATTTTCATAAAACACAATCAATGAATTGTGAGTGCAGAACATTATGTCTTATGTTGTACCAAGACTCTGCAGATATGAACACAGACATAATTGTGTTATCTTGATTATACATCCAAATTATTCAGCTGCAGAGTCATATGCAGATTATTGCTTGGCATCCTTAGTGTTGCTATAGACATCCATGTTGCTAGGCATACTTAGTGTTGCTATAGACACACATGTTGCTAGGCATCCTTAGTGTTGCTATAGACATCCATGTTCCTAGGCATCCTTAGTGTTGCTACAGAGACTCATGTTGCTAGGCATCTTTAGTGTTGCTAGGCATCTTTAGTGTTGCTAGGCATCCTTAGTGTTGCAACAGACACTCTTATGTTGGTAGTTATACTTATGTTCAGTACCACCAAGAGCAAGTTATGGAGTTTAAAGGAAATATCATAGCCTAGATCTCTATATCATTCACTATCAGAAGTTTAAGCCTGAACATATTTGAAAGACTCCCATTGGTCAACTATTATGGGACCTACTAATCACCAGCCTCCTCGAGGTTCATAGGTCAATTATATCTGAACAAACAGCAACATCTTCCCATAGGTCAATCATATCTGAACAAACATATCAACGTCTTCCCCGAGGTCCATCTCCTCCATGCCGACCTCACTCCCCACATTGACCTCCCCTCCACTTATACCGGCGTGAGCCTCCTCCAGCTCCGAGGACAGCACGTGGCCTCTGACCTCCTGATCTGATGACAGCACGTGACCCCTGACCTCCTGACCCCCTTGGGCAGACTCGACGGACGCCCGGGATATGTTCATGGAGCTGACCATGTCCGTGTGGTGGGCCCTCTTGATGTGGGTCTTGAGGTTCCCACTCTGGACGAAGGAGGAGCTGCAATAGGGGCAGACGTGAGGCTTCTCACCGCTGTGTTTCCTGAGGTGAACCTGCAGGGCGTTTTTCTGGTTGAAAGCTTTGCCACAAATATTACATCGGTAGGGCCTTTCACCTGAAAATAGGAACAATAATTTTAGTGACATTAGATATGAGCACCTCATGCTTTATTTGTATAATATTCGTGGAATTGTCCCCTCTTACTTTAGGCTATAACACAGCATGGACTGATAAGTTTACCACATAATTTTACCCCTGACACACACCCCCAGTGGTTGATAGCAACCAACCCTATTTTTAAACTTCTTCATAACTCATCTCTCTGTAGATGACTAATTTTTTTTTTATAAATTGGAAAAATGGAACCAAAAAATTTATTAATATTATCTCCCTTTCCATGTTAATAATGTTTTTGGAGAAGTATTATTTCTACTTCCGAAGATATGAAATAAAGTTTTGGCTACTCTTTACCATACAGCTGTATGGAACAAGTTGTCAACTTTTGTTCCATTACTTATAAGGGTACTCTTAACCATAAAGGTATAGTGAACAGGTTGTATACTTTTGTTCCATTACTTCTAAGGGTACTCTTAACCATAAAGGTATAGTGAACTGGTTGTCAACTTTTGTTCCATTACTTCTAAGGGTACTCTTAACCATAAAGGTATAGTGAACTGGTTGTCAACTTTTGTTCAATACTTCTAAGGGTACTCTTAACCTTAAAGGTATAGTGAACTGGTTGTCAACTTTTGTTCAATACTTCTAAGGGTACTCTTAACCTTAAAGGTATAGTGAACAGGTTGTCAACTTTTGTTCCATTACTTCTAAGGGTACTCTTAACCTTAAAGGTATAGTGAACAGGTTGTCAACTTTTGTTCCATTACTTCTAAGGGTACTCTTAACCATAAAGGTATAGTGAACAGGTTGCCAACTTTTGTTCCATTACTTCTAAGGGTACTCTTAACCATAAAGGTATAGTGAACAGGTTGTCAACTTTTGTTCAATACTTCTAAGGGTACTCTTAACCATAAAGGTATAGTGAACAGGTTGTATACTTTTGTTCCATTACTTCTAATTGTACTCTTAACCTTAAAGGTATAGTGAACAGGTTGTCAACTTTTGTTCCATTACTTCTAAGGGTACTCTTAACCTTAAAGGTATAGTGAACAGGTTGTCAACTTTTGTTCCATTACTTCTAAGGGTACTCTTAACCATAAAGGTATAGTGAACAGGTTGCCAACTTTTGTTCCATTACTTCTAAGGGTACTCTTAACCATAAAGGTATAGTGAACTGGTTGTCAACTTTTGCTCCATTACTTCTAAGGGTACTCTTAACCTTAAAGGTATAGTGAACAGGTTGTCAACTTTTGTTCCATTACTTCTAAGGGTACTCTTAACCTTAAAGGTATAGTGAACAGGTTGTCAACTTTTGTTCAATACTTCTAAGGGTACTCTTAACCTTAAAGGTATAGTGAACAGGTTGTATACTTTTGTTCCATTACTTCTAATTGTACTCTTAACCTTAAAGGTATAGTGAACAGGTTGTCAACTTTTGTTCCATTACTTCTAAGGGTACTCTTAACCTTAAAGGTATAGTGAACAGGTTGTCAACTTTTGTTCCATTACTTCTAAGGGTACTCTTAACCATAAAGCTATAGTGAAAAGGTTGTATAAATTTTTCCCATTACTTCTGGAATAGGTTTTATCTAATTTTTTAACTTAGATTGAGCAGATCTGATGGGACTCACCTGTGTGGATGCGCATGTGTCTCTCCACCTGGCTGGGCTTCTGGAAAGCTTTGTCACAGACGGCACACTTGTGTGGCGTGGCCTTGGGTTTCTTGGGGACGGGCCCGGGCCCGTGTGTGTGCATGTGTTCTTTGAGGTGAGCTGCTCTCTTGAAGCCCTTCAGACAAATCTAACAAAAAAACAAGTTCATTTTGAAAACATAATTTACCCACACATTTTTGAGGCTGAATAAATTCAGTAAAATTGTTTCTTTTACTTTAACAAACAAGTGTCTCCAATAATGTTTTCTATTTAATGCCAGTGTCTTTTACTTTAACAAACAAGTCTCTCCAATTATTGTTTCTATTCAATGCCAGTGTCTTCACGTTTCCAACATAAAAACATCTCAAGGGTGTTCATCCAATTGAAAACTCTGCAACTGCTGACCAAACAATGAGCCTGGCCACTGTTCTAACATAGCAAAGTATTTTACACTGTAATATACAGTCATATATGCCGTGCTACAGGAATGTACAGAACGCATACGTTGTTATACAGCAGAAACTTACCACACCTTTACATTATTATACACTACCATATATAATACTCTGCAAAAAACATCACCAGCACCCCGGGTGGATGAGACCCGTTAACCTCGGATGGCAACTCATCTTAGAGAAGGAAACTCTGAATTCAAAACCTGGAGATGGAGTCCCGTAGGCGGATACAATTGGTACAATGAAACATTCCGACAACTCTAGTGCCAAGCGGTATCATCCATATGATGTTCCCTTGGGTTATCCAGCGGCGTGGAGAGAGGCGATTTGCTTTTGGAAACCAGCTTATAATCCCCGAAGATTAATCCCAGGCCTTGTGGATTTTGTCCTGCAATCTCCACACCACTGCCACATTGTGATGGACGGATGCCAGAAAAAAATAAAATAAATATATATACACTGTTATATATTAACTTACATGAGTATGCTGTTTTACAGTAACTTACCGTACATATATGCTGCCGATCTGTTCCCTCCTGCTGCCTCTCCATCTCAGCTATAGGTAACAAATTTTGTGTGTCAACATCTTCATTGTCATCGTCATCATCCTCATCCTCATCGCCATCAAGTGAGTTACTATGGTGACCCATGCTGGGGTTCTGCTCCTGTACACAAGAAATTCTCTATCATGAACTATAGACGAAAAATTTTAAACATTTTTTTTACAACTTTAAATAGAAATTAGCCTGTATATAGGTATTAGGTATGGCTGAGCGGGTCCAATGGTTTTGTCCGGGTATTTTGAGACAATACCAGATGGATCCGCGCCCGGATCATCATGAGTATTACAAATCAAGAATTATCAATAGGAAATAAGAAATGTGTTCCATGCATGGAATCAGTAGTGATCACAAATGCACCAAAGTTGAAGACTCCATAACACTAATAGAGTGTAGCCCTCACCCATCAACATTTTAAAAATATCAAACACGGAGTAGAGCTGCAATATATGTGAGAGTAGAGCTGCAATTTATGTGAGAGTAGAGCTGCAATATATGTGAGAGTAGAGCAGCAATTTATGTGAGAGTAGAGCTGCAATATATGTGAGAGTAGAGCTGCAATATATGTGAGAGTAGAGCTGCAATATATGTGAGAGTAGAGCTGCAATATATGTGAGAGTAGAGCTGCAATTTATGTGAGAGTAGAGCTGCAATATATGTGAGAGTAGAGCTGCAATATATGTGAGAGTACTGCTGCAATATATGTGAGAGTAGTGCTGGTACCTAGTTGGAAATAGCTTCATTTTCCTTATACCAAAAAATATCTCATCAGTGTAGTTAGATAACAGAATTACAAATGAATCTTCCACGAGCTGGACTTACCAAATGTGTTATGTTAACCATTCGAGTATCATCACCAGGCAGAGTATATTTTTGGTCCTCTTCATCCACCAGACTGAGTTCTTGAGAAGGTCCTTGGCCATGAACATTGACTGCTTGGACTGTCACCCTCTAGAGGAGAAACAGACATTTGATGGCATACTAGCATCATAAAGTATATAAAGATCTACATTAACTGCCACTATGAAATGAGGTGTGCAGCCATATATATATAAATGTTTGTTAAAGGCCAATATGTATGAAATCTTATATCTTATTTAAATTGTTTATTGTCTGGCCATCTCCTAACCACTGGCCACCTACTAACCACTGGCCACCTACTAACCACTGGCCATCCTCTAACCCAGTGTTTCTCAACTTTCTTAATACCCCGACCCTAAAGTACAGTTCCTCATATTGTGGTGACCCCCAAAAATAAAATTATTTTCGTTGCTACTTCATAACTGTAGAGTATGTGTGTTTTCTGATGGTCTTAGGCAACCCCTGTGAAAGGGTCCTTCGACCCAAAAAGAGGTTGCGACCCACAGGTTGAGAACCACTGCCCTAACCAATAGCCATCCTCCAACCAATGGCCATCCTCTAGCCCCCGCATTACAGAATTCATTGTCATTTAAAACATGGTCATCCTCTTTCAGAATTTACTGGCCATCCTCTTACAGAATTTACTGGCCATCCTCTAACCACTGGTCATAAACTGACCACTACATAAAAGGAATCACTGTTTTTGAAAACAAATCTAGGAATCCTGATCAGATGTAAAAAAAAACTGCCATGTCCTCACCTGACCATCACTGGTAACAAAGGTGGTGGGGTTGGCCAGGTTGAGACCATGTGACTTTCCTTGTTGGTGACCTTGCAATGGGGTCATGGCATGAACTATGACATTCTGGTGGACACCGTCAGACATGGAGCCAGCCTGTGAGCAAAGACAGACAAAATAAATGGTGGATTCTCAGCCAAATGTTGTATGTAAATTGTATCAATAAATTAGAAGTGAAGAAAACATTTTGATATTTTGTATTTTCCTGTACTTCAATTAAATGTTAAATTTTACACCCCCCCCCCCCAACCCCACTTTCCTTTACAGCATAGTAACAATTTTGTTTAAGCCTTTTTATTTTTAGCTATAAGAATCAGTCCCATCAGCAAGTTGTTGAAAACCTGCTTTGATTATGGCCATGCTAATATTCAAATTAAAAAATTACACCTTCTTTATTCAGAAAAATCTAGAACTTGTAACAGAAACTTAATTGTTCAAAGATTTTAATGATGTTGACCAGTTGAAATCTTTTATTACAACTCATTAATAATGTAGAACATAAGTTTTCACCTATTTTTTGAGACGCCATCTTATCTTATAAAAACATAGTGACCAGGGAACTGCTATATTTGTAACAAAATTATTGCTGTAAGAGACAATCATAAGGGGAATAGATGCAGTGTTGTAAAATTATTAAACGTCATCTAAGACACAAATAAACAATGAAAATTCCTTAAGATCCTTAATATTTTTATTTAAACTTTTTCATTTGGCAAACTCCACAATAAAACCATCTGTGACTTCAATTATGGTTACTTCCCATGATCTGGGGAAGGTATTGTAATTGTTTAGCAGCTTGGGAACTTTGAAATCTTTCATTAGAGATCTAGCACTGCATTTTTACTGAAGATTGTCTGCACCAACTCACATGTAACTGTATCCCTTGAATGAGAGTATGCTCCCCTGATGTCCCCATTACTCCTTCCGTGAAAGACATTTGGCGACCCAACAAGGCATCAGACATGCTGGTACTCATCAGCCTGTCCTGGCCAATCATGGCATCCGACACATGGACCGCCCCTTGAGGGAGATAACTGTCCTGTGACTGGCCGATGAGAGAATCGGTCACGCCAGAGGAGACGTGCACTCGACCCGACTGTTGGCTGAGTAAAGCATCAGACAATCTGTGAGGCGTCAGCCCCTGAAGATAAAATGGTAAATTTTACATTTGTTCCAGATTTGATAGAGTCTCTTCACAATCAAACCAGACATACAAAAACAGTCTCCTCCTCAGAGGTTTAGAAACAGACCAGACTCATTAGCAGAGATTTTACAAAACGTAAACCTGTATGTTCAAATTTATAAGAGGATTTAAATGGTGGATGCAAAAGCATTTTAGCAATTGGAAAACTCAGAGAGAAATCTCTCATCTATATGAAAGATAATCAAAATTTAAAATTATATATATTTTAACAGAAAGGTTCCTTAAAATATAAAATAATACACTGCTTCCAGTTTATAAGTGTTTAAAGTAGAGCTCAGAAGAATTAAATGTGGGCATACAACACCTAAATGTGTACACAAAACCTAAATATGGGCACACAACACTTTAATGTGTACACAACACCTTGATGTGAACACCAAAATCCAGACAACTCACTTTCCCAGATGTGAGCTGTAGCTGACTGGGTTTTATATCCAACTGCTGTGAGACTGAGGTTGTTCCCCCCTGCACTGCCTGCACCATCAGGGCCTCTGAGTTCCTGATCTGTTGCATCAGGGCTTCAGACACCACAATGGTTTGTCCCATCAGGTCTCCTCCGTGGTGGGATACTAAAGTGGACAAGTTATGAAATTTTTGTTTAAAAAAGTTTTGAAATTAAAAGTTGATAAAAGACATACATACATATTTAACACACATTTAATTTTTTATTTCAAATAAACTCTCACCTTCATGATCCTGTATGCCATGCTGGGCCATTATAGCATCAGCTGACAGGCTCTGGCCAATCAGATTGTCTGACCCACCAAGAGATGAGGAAACTACAACCCCATGGGCCATCTCAGCCCCAACCTGGGACAGGTCAGCTGTCAGTGTTGGCTGGATGCCACTAGGGTTGATGGTGATGAAGCCATTCTGTTGTAGCTGCTGCAGCACCGAGGCGTCTATCTGAACCTGTTGATTTAAAGTGTTTTACAGAGTCTATTGTATCAAATCGTGATCAAATAGTAGATTGAAGAGTATACCAATTAGTAGATCAAAAAAGAGAAAGAGGATGAAAAATTTGATGAAAGAGTAGATCAAATAGTAGATCAAAGAGCATATCAAAGAGTAGATCAAGTGCAGTCATGAGAGGTTGAAAAATTGAAGAGCCAGAAGTTTGCCAACCTACAACTTAATGTGGTGAACCAAATAACATTTGTAAAATATCAAAGGCAAAGGTGAATTTGATATAACTTCCAATTTCTTTTTTAAAACAAAACGTTTAATCTTTCTGCATATGTTAACTCAAGCATTCAAGGATGTTTCTTAAATAACTTTTTATATCCCAGCCTAAATTAGTTCTGTATAAGATTTGTTCAACACAAAATAGTTTTCTTCAGATTAAAGGCAGAATGATTAAATATTGTTTTGCCCATATTAAGGACTTAATATTAAAATTCAGGATTATTTTGACATAATTTTTGTATAGTGCAACAACAAGAAAAAAATTGCTAAATATTTCTGTAACTGGTCACTAAAGAGCTTACCGTCTGCTGGAGCATACTTGGGTCCAGTCCAGTAAGTTGAAAGCCTTGGTTCAGCTGTCCGCCCAAAGGTGTGGTGAAGTGGAGCTGGAGAGCGCCGTCTAAACCTTGTATGACCTGAACAGACTGTAGTATAGGGGCCTTATCAGTCAACTGATGTTTGCAAATTTTCCTAAGTATCCAAAACACTACACAACCTTACTTAATATTACACAACTTAAACCTAGCAGTCTACATGTCATTCTAATCTTTAAATTATTTACTGACAAGCTGTAAACAACACAAGAAAAATGTTTTTAAAAAACCTTATACAAATAGTAATCTCAATGCAAATGTATTTGTAATAATCAAATTTGTTGTCTTTTCAGTTAAAACACGTCCCCATTTCCATAGTGTATGTGGAACATCTTCAAGGCAATGTAAAACATTCCCAGTTTAAGAATGTGATTACCCAATCCTGTACCAGAAAGTCATTTACCGAGTACAATCTTAAAATGAAGCCATAGATACACGTGTAGCCTTATGCAGCAACACAAAACAAAATTATGATGGTTTCTCAAGTTTTGGTACGTACAGCCAGCGACTGTTCCAACATGGCTCTTTCTCCATTGGTCACCTGCGCAGTCAGCGCCGAGCCATCATTGCAGCCATCATTCACAGCCAGCTGCACGGGCATCATGCCCGCATTCTGTAGCAATGACTGGTCGACACTTATCACCTGTCCGCCTAGAGATGCATCAACCCCAACCACCTGGGAGCCAAGGGACTGTTCGATCCCTACAACTCGCTGGATGCAAGCAAATTATCACAAACCATTTATTAATAAAATTTAATGTAACTAATTTTAAGAAATCCTTGGTTTTAAATAATCACATAATTACAAGGCAATAGTAACACAAAATACTCATTATAAAATTGAATTAAATTAGGTTTTGTACAAATTTTGAAGTCACTGTTTTTGTTGTTTACCTGGTTTGATAAGCTGTTGTTTTGGACAGGGTTGGCTTGAGCATTGGTCAGAATGTACATCTGGGGTTGAATGTTGTTATTGTGGGATGAGTTGATCAGAGGCTGAGGAGGGGTCGACTTCACTTTCTTTTTGGCACCTTCAGCTGAAAATACCACAAAGGTGCATATTTTTTCTTTAGATTTTGTCACTCAGTTTTCTTTGCTGGTGTCCTCTTCCTTTTTCTCTCTTTATTCCCTCAAAATGGATGCATTTGTATGGTTTCCATTTTTACTTCTCCTACCTTCAAGTTGTTCAGTTCTAAATATTTATTAATTCCTTAATCAATATCAATGTACATTTTTTATTTACAACATGAAAATGTTGAGTAATTCTATGTGAAGTTTTAATGTAAAGAAATAGTTCATTGACTAATTGTACATTTATATGTACATTTATATGTACAATGTTCCTTGGCTACTTGTACATTTCTAGCTACAATGATCACTGGCCAATTGTACATTCGTATGTACAAAGCACTCACGTCTAAAGTGGGAGATCATGTGACTTTTCCTATGACCTGATGTCCTGAACTTAAGATCACAGTGGATACACTTGAACGGCTTGGCTCCTGTGTGCAGACGCATGTGAACTTTCAAACTTCCCTTTGTAGAGAACATGGAGTTACAAACATGGCACAGGAAGGATTTTTCAGCTGAAACAAACAAATCATTCATATGAAAATAAACAACACTTCAGATAAAATTTGTACGACTTTGAAAAGAAGTGAGGAGAATTTTATTCCTTAAAGCTAATGAAGGCTGATATAGTATAATATATATTCTTTATTAGCATTAATTCCTGCTGGTCACAACCAAATTTTAGGATACAACTCCATTCAACATCTGAGGTAACGTCTTAAGTCAGTTCAAAATGTCTTATTTGTGAATTGTGTCTAAGAAAGCATCTTTAAGAGATCTATTTTTACAATTCCACCTGTTGAAAATTCCCCATTAAAAACAAATAACAGTGCGTACAAAAGTATACCCACTTTTCATCTGAATTAATACAGGAAGTGGGTGCTTTAAAAACTTTCAGAGGTTTTTCCTCTCCCTAAATTGAATTGTTCAAAATGATGGCAGTGTCAATGGTGTGTTTCCCCAACCCCCAAATAGCAACATCTCATTAACATTGACATCTGTCAAAACTACCGGACAACAAGGACAATTAAATCAAACAGTAATAATGCATCCTACCAGCTTTGTGCGTCTTCATGTGAGAATCAAGGGTGGACTTGACGGTGAACGAACGGTTACAAATCTCACAGATGTAGGGTTTTTCTCCGGTGTGGATCCTCAGGTGCCTCTGGAGATCACTTGGTTTTTTAAAACTTTTGGGGCAATGGGAGCACATGTTTGGAAACCGACCCCGCCGAACTGTCTGATTCTGAACATCCTGTGAGAACAGGGAGAGGAGATGTTACCATGTCTTGATAGGACAAGTATGTGAAAACCATCGGACAATGGATCCAGCCTGTGTCATACTAATCTGTCATTTCATCCCCAATAACATATTATAAGACAGCCCTGTCTCGTGGCAGCACTCTGTCTCACAACCAAGAGGTTGCAGGGCATGACTTTGTCTGGGGATCTGCTCAGTCAAGTTTGGCAATGATCCCTGCAGCTATTCTTGAGGAGGAGGTAAGTGCCAAGTCAGATATCAGCTGCCAACTACTTAAAATTTCAGCCGTCTATGCAATCCCAAAACACACAAATATAGAGAATAGGTTTAAAAAAAAAAAGGAAAATAAAAATGGTATTGTCCTGATAGATCAAACTTAAATTAAATCAGCCATTAATTAAAGTGTAAGAAATTTGGTACTGCTTAAAGCAGACTCCCCTGGAATACACATGAAATGATTTTTAACTAACTTTACATAAGGTTGTCATTTGTTTACTTTTGGCATGCTGATTCTGTCTTTCTCTGATGCCGACTCCATCAGTATTTTTTCTGATATTGAGACCTGTTCTTCAGAAAACTGTTGCTGGGCTTGAGATCGCCGTCTTGCCCCTCGCTTGGGGGCCTGGTTTTCATCATTCGTCTTAACCACAGTCATGACATATTGGATAGGTTGCTGTGTTCCTGGATGAAGGACGTAAGAAATGGAGAATCACTATTATTGACAAAGGATTCTGCAAAAACAATTATTTGATGAGCAATCAACATATTTTAACATTTTTTAAAACACATATTTTAAATTTGATGATATTATAAAGAAGATTTAACGGGTTAAGATTGGTTAAAATTTTAGAATTTTTGTAATGACTTCTAAATTCTACTCCTAAGACAAAGACCATCAGCAAGTTTGAACTTTTTGAAAAATTGAAAAACTGATTCAATTCTATGCTTACAAAAACCTGCTTTTAGATTTACCTTGGCAGTCTTTACTGTGTCGCCTTAAGAGCGCAAGGTTTTTAAATTGTTCATTGCACATATCACAGACGTGAACATTGGTTTTGGTCGTGTGCTGCATGGCATGCCTCCGTAATGAAAGAGAGGTGGAAAAAGAGGCATCACAGTACTGACACAGGTGGGGCTTGAGGGTGGAATGTGACCGCATGTGGTTCTTGAGCACCACGGCAGACCCAAAGGATTTGGAGCACTCTGTGCAGGGAAAAGATTTTTCAGAATTGTGAAGTTTCATGTGTTGATTAAGGTGGTTGGCACGCTTGAAGATTCTGTTGCAAATGTTGCAGCGGAAACCTCTGCGCAGGGGGTTGGACGAGGCTTGGGTCAACTGGTTGAGATCCTGATGCAGGTCATTGACCAGACTATCCTGGTCAAGGTTGCTGCCATCCTCATCTCCATCAGCCAAATTGTCTTCCTGTTGTGACTGCTGGTTGCGAGGGTTTTCTTCTCTGCAGAACAAAAATAAGCATTCAAACAAAGATGTTCAGTTCCAAAAAAATTTATTTTTGGTGAATACTTTGCCATTTGTTATATACAATACCAATGTGAAACCCCAAAACGAAGGGCTCTCTATTTAAAACAGGTGCCTTAAAATGATGGAGGTAATGGTGTATTTCAAGGGGGGGGGGGGCAAACCACGGCCCACGGGCCGCATCCAGCTCGGCTACTGATATTATGCGGCCCTTGAAAGCATTTAGAAATTTAAAAAAATACTTTTTTAAAGTTATTTTGTTGAATTTTACAGAATTTCATGTATTGCTAAGATTGTTTTAACATTTTTTGATCAAATTTCTTTATAATTTTCTATTTTTTTAAACAGTCCTTGACTTTTGTCATGTAATGCTAAAATGTGAATTTACCAATTTTTAGAGAGAGAAATGTTTATCAATATGTAGAAATTGAACATAATATACATGCGACACCCCCAATAGCTTTACATTTCTCAATGTGACCCTCCGCACAAAAAGTTTTCCCACTCCTGGTATATTTAATTCTTAATTGCCATTCTGCTGGCTTAGTTAAGTAATCAGAAATTGGGGAATATTTAGGTTGGGGAATATTTAGGTCCCCAACAAGTAACTTAAAAAATAGCATCTTATTTAACACGTTGTCCACATAAAAGTAACACAATGTTATTTTTCAATATTAAGTCTCTTGTTGTATAGCCTGGTCAGATACACGTGTGTGACTTACTGGCTAAATATCTCTTCCTTTTGTTCTTCGTACTTGCTGGACAGATCTGATTGAGAGCTTAAGGTGGCCTTCCAACTTGGTGACTGTCCATCATTCAACAAATAAACCAACAAAAAAAAAACTATATGAGAAAACAAGGTATTCACTCAAGCAAAACAACATGACTAATTTCATAAACAGAATTATTTTAGACTTAAGATGCAGGGTGTAAGGAAAAAATCTGAAGAAGGCAAATATAATTGTAGTCAAATTGTATTGACAGTGTAATTAAAAACTTTATAGTTGGTCGGTCGAAATCTACCATGACCATTTGATCATCATTTTTGTGCTAGTTCTGAATTTGGCTAATGCAACAATTCTGGCATGTGATGTTCTTGAGTGGAGCTTACCTGGGCTTTTCTGGCATAAATACTCAGTTCAAATGAAGTCTTCAGCAAATTTGAAACTAATTATTTATAGTTATTATGCTCCTTTTTTTCAGTTTCATAAATAATTTGAATAATTTACCTTTAAATTGATTCATTAAAAGTCTCCTGATTAAAGATCTGGCATTTGCTCTATCATCAGGCTATGTTCTAATTAGCCTTTAAATATTTATTTTTTAATCTTGTGAGTTAAAATGGAAAGCAATACAAGTACGACTAGTTTGGACCCTGTTTTTACAGGACCTAGCTTTTTATGGTTGGGATCAATTTAATTTACACCATTATTAAACATAAAATGGGAGATAACTTAATATTACAAATGACCAACCTGATAGGTGTACTGTGTAGTGCCTTGTCCATTGATGGGCTGTGCCAGGGATGAGTTCACCTGGGTGTTGATTTGGTTCTCTAGCTGTTCTTTGACCTGTACAACCAAGGTGCCAATGTTATAATTGAGCTACCCAATTGTAAAGCATCACATTCATATTAAATTAATGAACACAACAGAAAAACAGGGGAGACAATACCAAAAAAAGTTTTGTTGCGTATATAGCCCAAATATCAAATCATTTAAGGACTTTAAAAAGTTACCTACCCTGTTGAGATTTTCATCTTGCTCCCTGTTTGTTTTGTCCTCCTGTCCTTGCCTGGTGTCCTGATTGGTCAACTGGACAAAGTGCTGGTTCACTAATGTAAAGTTATGGCCAAACATCTGAAACAAAATCCATGTTACTTTGTGTTACGTTTAGTACAATGCCCAGAATCACCTATTGATAAGCTTAATTTATTTTTAAAGGTATTGAAAAAGATGAATGAAGGAGTGTTGCAATATATTTACATATCAGTGGCATTATATTTGATAAGTGGGAAATACACAATGCACATTAAAACTTTGCTTTTTGCCAGCACTGTCATCCCAACTGCTGTTTATGCCAGAGATACGGATAATTATTCAGAGAGTAGCCCAGGCATTAAATTGATGCCATCCCATTAGGAACATGGGATAATAAAGAAATATTGGAGCATACTGCCTGAGAACTACAGCAGCTTTGTGCAGAATGAACTTTACTGGGTACATCCTACGACTGTCACCACAGGGTACAGCTAAACCAAACAATACGGCATGCCACTGAGAAGACAGAAAGAAATATTCATCTCTCATTTCTTACCCCTTGACCAAATGCTTGCTGTAAGCTTGAGTCCAGTGATAGAGTTTCTCCATTCACTCCACTTGACTGAAGGTCAGAATGGTTGAGCTCCACAACCTGATAAAAAATTGTATTGAAAATAACTAATTTTATGGAACAAAATATTGGAAAAGTACTCTTTTACTCTTTTCCTCAAAATATAGAACTTTCTCAAAGTATATTATTTTTCCTCAAAATGTATTACTCTTCCTTCAAATGTATTTATTTTGCTCAAAATCTATTACTTTTACACAAAATATATTACTTTTTCTTAAAACAATTTACTTTCCCTCCCACAAAACAAGAGGATCAGCATGTCTTATTTAATTCTTCATGAATGCCCTTTTCTTTTACTTTCTAATTAATACTTGCAACTAAAATTTAATCCAAAAAAGGCCTTGACATAGTGTAACTCCAATAAGAACAGTAACCACATCTACCTGTAGGTCTGGCTGTGTGACAGTCGTGGTGTGTCCAATCTCATGCTCCTGTAACACGTCCAGGTCAGACAAACTCTGTCCTCCCGTGAGTCCATCCTCCTCCACTATCTCAGCCTCATCCTCAGCTCTCCCCTCACCTCCGTCTACTGTACCACCCGCTCCCTCGCCCTCTTTCACAGTCTGGTAATGCTGCATGGCTAGTTCATGTCTGTCAGAAATAACAGATCATAACAATTTCTTCAGATCTTTCTAACATCAAAAGATTATGATTCTTCAATTTATTCAAGAGGCTAACTCAACATAACAAAATATCTTTTTTTTAACTTTCATTTACTAATACTTTATTCCTCAACAGACTGCTGTAACACTTGGTTATTGACTCAAGTTATTGTCTTTATTTAAAACTATTCACAATTCATAACTATTGTCTCCGTAATATTTTTGTTCCCACAGCATGCCAACATTAAATTTTCTGGCTGTTTAGTAAAATCAAGGTGAAAATATTAAATACGTTACCTGTGAGTTTTCATGTGTTTTTTGCAGTTGACCGACGTCTTGAAAGTCTTCTGGCAGTAGGGACACATGAATGGACGGACCTCACTGTGCGTTGACATGTGCCTCTTCAGACTGCCGCCAGTGGTGAAAACAGAATCACAGACAAGACATTTGTGCGACTTCTCTCCCGAGTGGGTACGGCTGTGAGCTTTCAGCACTCCATTTGATACAAATGACCGCTGGCATGTTGAGCACCTGTACGGCTTCTCACCTGTAAGGTTCAATACATTCATTGGTTATGCTAAGTTAATGTGATGTCATTAGAATGTTAGTGACTCTTTTAACTATGTCCTGAAGCACTTACTTTTTGAACTAAAAGGTTGAGCAGCTGACAATCCCATTTTAAATATGTCATGTTCAAGATAAAATCCTTTATAAATTCTGATTATCCCCATTTATTAACACAGTTATTTTTCTTATAATCACTAAGAGACTTCTAACCCAATTACACTTTCTGATATGCTTCCATCACCTTGCCAAGGAGAGTTCATGTAACATTTATGATTTTAACATAAAAGAATATCAAATTTAAGACTTTTCTAAATTTCTATATTGGATGGGAACATTTCAAATCCTTCTAAAATAAATTTTATTCTGCAAAATGATTTAAACCTGGAAGGTAAATGAAAAAAAAAGAAATCCCGGACTTTTTTTGTGAATCAAGATAAAATTATGAATAATAACCTGTGTGAGACCGGACGTGCTGTTTCAGGTGGCTAGACTTCTTGAAACCTCGACGGCAATGAGAACATTTGTAGGGCCTGTCAGAGTGACCAGACTCACTCGTGAAAGGTGGGAAAAGTGTGTTACGTGGGGCTTGCTGGATCAAACCTGAGTTTTTTTTGAAGGTAGAGTTTGTTTAGAAAAAGTATTGATATTTTAGGAGAATGTAACAATAAGATTTCCAAGCTGTCCAGGAAAACAAAAATGAATGTTTCCAATGCTTAAAAATCATCATTAGAAACATGTAAATCTGTTATTTTCTCCCACACTAATATTCATCTAACTATGGGCAACTGCTTGGTGTGTGGAATTCACCATCTTTAAAATAAAGGTTTTGATCATTCATGGTTAAATGCAAACAATCAAAAACTCACTAATTTCAACAATACTGAGAGAAGGTCAATAACCATTGAATTAAGGTTTAGCATTGTAGACAGCACCAGTGGTCCATGTTAACAATCATCCTAAAAAGCACCAAGATAAAAAATATACCAGCATCTGTGATGAGTATGGGTTCTTGCAGGGGAATGTCAGTCAACATGGCGTCGTTACGGGGCTCTCGTTTAAATGCCCTTCGAGGCCGTGGGGCGCTGTCTGGGTCTTTGAAGTGAGACTGTATGTGGGACTTGCAGTGGGCAGAGGTGCGGAACTTTTTATCACATTGTGTGCAAGAGAACGGTTTTGCTCCTGCAATCAGAAACAATGTATTGGGGAGAATAATTGAGAATTAAAAAAATAAATCAACAGAACTGAAGTATTGTAGTTTGAAACACATCAGCATGAGGCGCAATGATGACAGTCATGATCTAGAAAATGTACTTTTAATGTATTTAAATATAGCAGAATGGATTTGTGCTGTAGGGACTATGGTAGCACAATAGGAAAATGTCACTATTAAACCACTGGGTCTATGTGGCACCAGAGCAGTAAAATAAACATTCACCACTAACCCGTGTGCAGCCTGAGGTGGACTTTAAGACTTCCTTGAGTTGAGAACATCTTACTGCAGACATCACACCTGAACTCCTTGACACCGGTGTGAGTTTTGATGTGGGCCGTGAGGGTGCTCTTGACGGCAAAGGCACGGAAGCACTGGGTACACTTGTAAGGTTTCTCGTGTGTGTGTATCCGAATGTGCCGCACAAGATCACTGGGTTTTTTAAACTCTTTACTGCAGTAGGTGCACTGGTGCCACCTTATGCCATTGATCTGATGGAAATATAAATGATTCTTTAATGCATGAATTATGAGAAAAGAGAGAAAGTATTTGTATATTGCAGTTATATGAAATGTAACCAAGAATGTTTATAAGGTATTGGAGATCTTAGTGAATGCTTAGTATAAGATCCCATCCAACAAAAGATAAACATTGAAAGAGATCATTGATTAATGTAAATTAAGTAGACTTGTTACTCTTATGATTTGGCATACAAAGAGTGATTTTGACATGCTTTTTATGATTGTACCATCAAAAATACAATTTTAAGAGACCAGGTTGAAAAAATATATTCTGGTAGTTTTTGTAATATAAAAAAAACTAAACTTTTTCAGTTGTTAGTTGTACCTCCTTTCTAAATCCGTTTGTGAATGGACCGAGAAATATGACATGTTGTGTTCGGCTGAACACCAATTGCCAGAATGGAGAAAAGTCTGGATTTTTTTAAATTAAACAAAAATGCATTCTTCAGTGCTCCACACAGTGTTGAAATATTTTATAAGATCAAATAAACAGCATTTGAAATCTATCATTTGAAGTAACTAAGCAGCTCTACCACATCAATATCCCAGTTTGGTATAGGCACTCCTCTTCCCTAATCCCAACACAACTTGATATGGTTATTAGACTACAAAATGTTAACGGAAAATAAAATGAGGCTCCTAGGCTTAATGCAAGTAAAGTATTGTGGCCCACTGGATGTATCACAAATAAACTTATTTCTTCATTCAGTTAGCGATTATTTTCATTCTTGGCATAAAAGCATATATATATACACATCAATTTTTGTGATGGTACGCAACATTTCATTATAGCCGCCCTTTTTATTTTTTGACCGATAAAAATATAAAATGATTGAAATAAGTCATCTTTAAAAAATTTATAAAACATTTGTACTATTTAGTATCTACTAAAATAAAAAGGATTAATATAAACACAGCTAGATTGAGGGAACTTATTTTCCACACGTATTGCGATCAAGTGTAGAATGATGCAAGTGCATCCCTGAATTTTGAATATATAAATGAATTTCTTGCCAGGGGGCTCTTGGCCCTCGGGGGGCTCTTGGCCCTCTCCCCAAACCCTACTTTAACTCATCTTCATCTCTCAAAGTGGCAAATACTGTAATAAGTATTTTAGACATGCAATGCCAATAGTTATAGTATACATTATAATGTATGTTTATTTCTTTACTATTACACTTTGGCATTGTATGATTTTGGGATGATATAGTACAATTCTGAAATGATATTGAACTACTTTAGAAGGTCCAGGGTAACTAGGTCTGAGTAAGAGTATTTCTGGATGTGGATTTTATTCAAGAGTTCTTCAGGTGTAACCCTGTGACAGTAAATTATTATAAACTTATCTTTAGAGGGAGGCATTCTTATTTCCTTCATGATCATTTAAAGATCTATATAATAAAATATACTATATAACATACGGTACAAATAATAATTTTTATACAATTGGTTTAATTATTTTCCCAACTTCCACCACCAGCAGCTCACCTTTCTAATATAATGTCTTTTTAATAAACCGGTTGCCGAATCGTGAACCGCCATGCTGCCCAACCGAGGCAGATTCCCTCCATTGCGCATGTTGATGTTGGCCGTGTTTGTGTTGCCGGCTGATGCCATGCTGACCAATACAGCACCAGATACATCCTTGTCATTGTCATCATCCCCTGTGTGCTGTAGACCACTGTTCTCTAAAGCTTGCTGCAGGATGTCAGATGCTCCCTGTTCACGTTCAGACAATTGGTCACATGGAAGCTAATCAGTTTGAAACTAATCATTTTAGAAAAAGTTTGAAAGACCAATTTGAGGACAAATTTCGATTGTACTAAAATATCTTTAATTTCAGGTGTAACTAATCACAAGCATGCAAACCAAGAGACGGGTCAGTTTTGGGCTACTATTGTGACTTGCATGCTGAGAGACAGGTCAGTTTTGGGCTACTATTGTGACTTGCATGCTGAGAGACAGGTCAGTTTTGGGCTACAATTGTGACTTGCAAGCCAAGCCGAGAGACAGGTCAGTTTTGAGCTACTATTGTGACTTGCAAGCCAAGAGACAGGTCAGTTTTGAGCTACTTTTGTGACTTGCAAGCCAAGAGACGGGTCAGTTTTGAGCTACTATTGTGACTTGCAAACCAAGAGACAGATCGGTTTTGAGCTTCAATTGTGACTTGCAAACCAACCAAGAGACAGATCAGTTTTGAACTTCAATTGTGACTTGCAAGCCAAGAGACAGATCAGTTTTGAGCTACTATTGTGACTTGCAAGCCAAGAGACAGATCAGTTTTGAGCTACTATTGTGACTTGCAAGCAAAGAGACAGATCAGTTTTGAGCTACAATTGTGACTTGCAAGCCAAGAGACGGGTCAGTTTTGGGCTAATATTGTGACTTGAAATGAAAAATACTAATTGATTACTCTCATACACAATTATTTTATGGTAAAAGCATTTATTTTGCTTCAAAAAAGTAATGTTCCATGCTTTGAACAATAATTACATCTTCATACCTGGTCCAAAGAGCCATGAATGACCTGTGAGTCTACAAGAGATTGGCCATGAAGGCCTGATTGGTCCAGACCCAATACATCTTGCATCATGGCAGAATCGTTCATGTCTGACAGCTGAAGTGATTGCATTTTTATATCCTGGACAGTAGCTTGGTTGGAATCCTTTATAAGGGAACATTACAGGATTACGGAACAATGTGGCTGAATGCACCCTAACATTACAGCCTTATAATACAACATGCCTAAATGCACCTTAACATAACAGGCTTATAATAAAACATGGCTGAATGCACCTTAATGAATTCTATAATTATAAAAATATTTAAGTGAAGCCAAATTTTAAAGGTAAATCCAAGTGTTGAAATACTTTGTCTTAAATACACTTTGCTTCTTTTTTTTTTTAATAAAGGAAATCATCTTGATCTTGTTGAGCCTGACTGCTTTTTATGAACATTTGGACATTTGATTGCAGAGTTTTGTATCAAAAATATATTTTAAAATTATTGTTACTTACTCCAGGATCAGCATGAGCTCGACTAATGTGAGCATTTAGAGAACCCAATCTACGGAACATGCAGCTGCACTCGTCACATTCATAGATCATTCCATGTTCTTCTTTATTTAGCGTATGCACTCTCTGTGTGAGGAAATTATTTATTTTTTTATTTTGCTTCCACCAAGAAACAAAAATCTTGAACATAAAATATTTCCTACAAGAAAATACAACCATTTCTTAATGGCTGCACATTTTTGTTGTCAATTTAAATTTTCTACATATAAAGCATTAAGGATATATTCAAGTTTTAAAAAGAAAAAAAATGTTTAAATGTTATTTTTGTTTAATGTTGAGGATTTCAAAATGTGTAGTGACTAGGTGTAATATCCTCAAACAGCAAATTTACAATTAACTATATTTGATGTCTTTACCCCAACATGATCTATTAATATTGGGGACTTTCTAGCTTTAATGTTGTAACTAATCCTGGAGAGTTGAAATTTTAAACATTGATTTTTAAAGATTAATAACCTGAATGTGTGATCTCAAATTTCCCTTCTGTGCAAACGTCATGGGACAGAAAGTACACGTGTGTGGCCGTACGCCTGTGTGTTTAGTCATGTGCATCTGTAACGCACCTTTTTGATTAAAAGTTCGCCCACAGGTTTGACACTTGAATGGTCGATCACCTAGAAAAATCATAAATAAATCAGTTTCTGCTGATGAAATTTTTACAGAGATATAATTTTCTTGAGATTTTTTTTGGTAGGGGTATCATGTAAATCCTCTTTCATTTAATATCAATTAAGTAAAACTATGAAATTGACACTTATTTCCTTATAATGATTTCAGTCTTGTCTACCTAAGTGACTAAAGAATTTTAAATACAAAGTTTCCAATCACACATTTAGAAATAATATATCGAAATTTCTATTCACTTTTTCTAAAATTTTCTATACAACATTTGCCAAATGTACAATTTACTGGACGGTATCAATATTTCTACCAAGTCAATTTTTCAGGATATTTTAAGATGAGTCTTCTTGCTTATGATATATCACACACTTTTATTAAGATTCTAGAAAAAAAAGTTTGCAGTATATAAATAAAAAAACAATATTCTAACCTGTGTGTATTCTTTCATGTCTTTCCAGCTGACTGGGCTTCTGAAATGTTTTTGAGCAGAACTTACACTTGTGTGTAAAACCAGTTCTATCAACATCACGTTTATAATTTCTGTGTTGAAGGGATGCTCTGAAAAAATATAATAACCGCGCTTTAGTTCAATAGTATTAAAAAGCGCCCATAAAATTCTATGTAAGTGTGTCCCTGAACTAGTCCTCATTGAATGAGGCATTTAAAGCGAGAATAACAAAACTTACTATAAAAATGGGATAAATGATGAAAAACAAGGATTTAAAAAACGAATGGAAATAAAATAAATCTTACTTGACTCTGTAGTGTTGTTTCATATGTTCTTTTAATGATGCCATTTTGGTGTATTCTTGGTTACATTGCCGACACTGGTATGTTCTCATCCCTTCACTTTCTTGACGATGCTCTTGTAAATGTTTATCTAGCTGGTGCTGAAAAAAGAATAGAAGAAATAAAATAACCCTTTCTTTTGATCATCAAGTTTGAAGTCTATGTTCAAGCTCCGATCAGTATGCATTAATTGTGCAATCAATTTTATATAATTTCATAGCCCTAAATTATTTCAAATAATTTTTAAACTTTTATTGCATTTTTTTTTCATCACAATTATCAGTTGGCTGGTGTGGAAAAAATCCATTAAAAATGAATTATTTTTATATCAAACGCAATAATTAGTTGGCTGATGTGGAAAAAAAAATCTGTTAAACAATGAATTATTGTTAAATCAATCACCTGAACACTGAATTCATCTCCACACTCAGGACACATTAAGCTTTCTTCTCTCTCATGAAGCATTATGTGAGCCTTCAAACTGGCCACTCGTGAAAACTTCTTCCCACATTCAGGACATATAGGTTCTCTGTCTGGACCAACATGGGTAGCCAGATGGAGTAGTAGGTTATCCTCAATGTTGTAGGAGGAAGGACATTGATTGCACCTGGATTAAACAAAAAAATACTTAAATAAATACTAAAAAATATTAAGCTTGTTGTCAGGATGTTTTAGTGATTTATTAATTTATTAGCTACAGCCCATCAAACAATGGTGGCAATGTGCCAACTTCCCATCTACTAAAGTTACTTGACAAAACATCCATTCAAATAATGAAAACTTAATAAAATTTCCAATCTGTGCTACCCCCCACCTCCCCCAAAACTATGTCAATGACCCTTACATTAATATTCTAATGTCCCACCCACTTTTATACAGCAGATTTTTAACACATTTAAATTGAGATTCATTCTCATAAAACAAAATAAAATATTAAGAACATTGCAGTATTTAAAGAATCTCATTTAGCACAATTAACTGGAATTTTATTTAGTAAAATCAACACCATCTGGCAGTGTTAGTGACATTATTACACAAAGAATGATGTATTACTTTATAAAATTGTTATGTGATTATGTAAATTACTGAGTTACCTGTAAGGTTTATCTTCATCGTGTGTCTTTAGATGTCTCTGGAGTTGATTCCACTTGTTGAAGATTTTGTCACACAATGTACAATTGAAAGGAGCCTGTGAAAATATTAACATTCAAAATTAAATAAAGGCTGTGACTATTTGCACCCGGGTACCAGAAGTGAGAGGTTGCGATTAAAAAACTATTTAAAATATTATTGTTGGGTTTATAAGACAAATGAGGTATCAAATGATAGATAATTGAATGGACTATATGTTTGTAAACTTACTTCTTCAGTTTAACTAAAATAAACTACCACAAATGACATCCGAATAGCATTGGTCTAATGGGACCCGGGTGCGAATGGCGGCGATGCGTGTCCGGGGCTAATTTGGCTAAATGCTATTCGGATGTCATTTTGTCTAACAACCCAACAATAATATTTTAAATCGTTTTTTTAATCCCAACCTCTCACTTCTGTTACCCGGGTGCGAATAGCCACTTCGTTAAATATATATGGTTATATCAAATTTTCACAAGTTTTCTTCATATCATAAATTACTACTCATGCATTTAACAAAACAAAAATTCACTGATTAAAAATCAAAACCCATTGATTAACAACATAAACCTGCTGATAACCCATTGGGTGACATTGAAAAGTAAAGCAATCATTTTCCTAAACTAAACACTTAACTAGCTTTTGTCAACATACCTTCCCTATAGGCGGCTTGACATCAAGTGGTTCTAATGTTGGTTGGACACACATTTGTTCCATGATAGGTTGTTCCAGTACCACTTGGTGACACTGTGTACACATCAAAAACAGATATCAAGATTTCATCCTATATTTTACAATCATTAATTAATATAGACTATGCCTAATTTTAAATTGTTTAAAATTTCAGGGCATTTATCATCAAATAATGAAAACGAATTAAACAAAATCAAGATGTAAATTTTTAACTGTTATTTTATCCATGAGAGTAGAGATATGTAGTTAGAATACTTACATTCTGCAGATCAATAGATCCTTCGGGTAATGTTTGGTGGACTTCAATAGCCCCATTGTCAAATATTTGACCCGAATCAAATAACGATGAATCAAGGTAAGCAACTGTTGTGCCATCTGGGAGTGATTGCAAGCTGTGAAGACCTTGGATTGTGTGGTCAAGGCCAGAAACATGACTGATGTAGGCATAGTCTGAAACTTAAGAAGATCCCATTTATAGAAATAAATTAATTCAAAGATAGCTCCAATGTTTCATAACAAGTTTTCTGTACTTGTGAAGCAAAAACCATACTTTTGTTTTTTGTACATCTTTGCTACTAATAAAACAACCTTTTCCAATTGATAAAATAATGAGATTGCAAACATACTTTTAAACTTTTGAGGATACTAAACAGATCAGGTAAAGAAGTAGATAATTCCATGAAGCTTAAAGAAACAAACTTGAATAAATAAAGTAGCTCAAAGTGTAATCGAAAATAAAACGAAGTAAAGGCCTCCATCCAAAAAAAAACTAAACATATGTTCATTCATAAGTATTATGACTAATAGCCTACTTTCTCTTAAAAGTAATATATTGTGAAATATGGCCAATCAGACTTTAAAAAATGGTCATGGAAAAGCACACACAACAATGATGGGTAGAAAAGGAACAGTTTTTTACAGGGAAAAAAAAATTTTAAATGGAATTTCAATCCACACTTTAGACTGGGTTGTGGGTCATTCGCAAATTTTTTTTTTGCTGGCATCCGTCTGTCACAATGTGACGATGGTGTGGGCTTCGGAGGTCGAAATCCACAAGGATTTGGGATTATTCTTCTAGGATTATAAGCTGGTTCCCAACAGCAAAACGCCTCTCTCCACACCGCTGGATAACCCAAGGGAACATCAAGGGATGATACAGCTTGGCACCAGTGACATCGCAGGAGTTGTCGGAAGTTTCATTGTACCAATGTTATCCGCCTTTCGGGACTCCATCTTCGGGTTTGATTTCAGAGTTGCCTTCTCTTAGATGAGTTGTCATCCAAGGTTAACGGTTCCGGGGTGCTGGTGATGTTTTTGCTTGACTGGGCTCTGGCTGGAATTGAACTCCAGACCACCACTCCAGACCAACAACTTGAGATTTGCTCAGTTTAGACCACTCTGCCACCCAGCACCAAAATATGACTTTTTTAGACCACCACCTCCCCCCTGTCACAAATTCTTTACACCCTCTCCCCATGTCATGTCACATGAAAAAAAAAAAAAAAAACAAAAAAACATCAAAAAAAAAAAAAAATAATTGAACTCCAGACCACCACTCCAGACCAACAACTTGAGATTTGCTCAGTTTAGACCACTCTGCCACCCAGCACCAAAATATGACTTTTTTAGCCCCCCCCCTCCCCCCTGTCACAAATTCTTTACACCCTCTCCCCATGTCATGTCACATGAAAAAAAAAAAAACATACATAAAATGTGCATAACTAAATTAAGATTTTAAAATGTGACGCGAAACAACGAAGACATCCACTAGCCTAATGTTAATTGGCTACAACAGTTTTTGTGTCATTTTTCGATATATGCAGAAGGTATGCACCATGGTTCACGCTACCTATAATACCTGAGGCAATTCGAAAAAAAATTAATGTTTTTAAAATTAATTGAATAAAGATTTTTCAAAATTAGAAAATTCTAGATTTTTATTTTTAAAAATCGTGACTCACAAATATTTTGACCCCCTCTTTCCCCTGTCACAAATTCTTGCCCCCCACCCCCCGAGCATGACGTCATTTGTGAACGACCCCTTAAGGATCTTAAGTGTTTCCCAATGTGGGAACAATTTGAATTGAAGATTATGGGGGCAGGGGACACGGCTAAGTCATATTTAGTCTCTGAAATAGGAAATGTGTTTGTTTTTTTTCAAAAAAAGATGGGGAAGGCAATGTTAGACTATTGTTCGCCATGTATTGTAATACAAGTATATTTCACTTATTGATTATTGTTACTTTTCACAGTGTTGAATTTCAAGGCCTAACAAGGCATAAAAAATAAATCAATAAAAAAATCTTCCTAAGCGAATAATTAAATATAAATAATATAAATTATAATTCTTATTCATTACTTATAATATAACCCTATAACTATAACCATAGGAAAGATATTCAAAGTTTGATTTTTTTGGGCATGAGCAATTTTTAATTAAACTTTCTATCACTCCAAGCTAAATTAAGTATATAATAATATAAAATATTTTTGAAAATATATATTTTATATACTAAGACATTGACATGTATTTGATGTATCATTCCCTTCACTATATTCAGTGGTGGGGGCTTAGGTAATACCGCTAACTCCCAAATACCGGTACTTAAATTCTTAAAATTAAGAAACTATAGTGTTTTTAAATGTAGATCAAGTAAATGTCTCTGTGATTGTTTATTTATTATTACATTGGGCCTTATTTATTGACATCGTGATTGCGGCCAAAATGCTGGCAATATTATTACAATTACAACGAAACGTTATTTACTAAACTAACCATAGCCATAGGTAACATTTAACATACAGTCAAACAGCAGAGTAGGGTGTTGTTTGTGTTTCAAGTAGTGTCAATTATAGTTATGACACTACGACTATGGGGCGGGGGGAATCGTTCATAATTTAAAATTGAGAATGTTAGGTAACTATCAACTGAATGAAACAAAGCAATGTTCACGACTGATTCCCAACTCGAGTAGGAATACTGAAACTTTACAGTATTCTTGCGCCTCCGGAACCTTTCTCGGTACTGGGGGTGAGGAATGTAGGTCCCGATTCAAGAAATAAAGGGACTTCCAGTGTATCAAAATTGTTTTCTATAACTTATAGGTGAATCACATGTCGTGAAGAGCTGAATACAACTTACCCATAATATTTTCTACTTGTATTTGCTGCAGGGTTTGCCCATCGAGGGACATTTTTTCCGATCAAATCGTATCCAAGATGGCCGAGATTCCTGGTCGCCGCTTGAAATTGAGGCAATCGGGACCTAGATTACTTTGATTGGCTGAAAAAATCGAAAGTAGAATCTCCACGTGGGTTTTTTGTTTACATTACGAGGTCCTCTATATAAACCGTAGTACTACATTGTTGTTTATTTTAATGTGGCGAACTATGTATGTGTATTACTTTGACTTTATTACTTTGACTTTAATAAAGAGTGATTTACATTTTGTTTCAATGAAGTATTTAAAACTATTGTCAATTTAAAAAGAAAATTATATTTTCTACCCACATAACAAATCCCCTTCTTAATACGGTACTTAATGAAATGATTGATGTCAAAGTCTCACTTAAAAAATAAATATCAAATTTTTATATTTAAATTAAAACTTTTTTCAAGACCGCAATCCCTTTTTTATTTAGCACCCCCTCCCCCATTTTCCATATCCTTAACAGAGAGTTTGAGTCAACATTTTGTTAACTATCATGACTGAGTAATTAAAAATTCTTTTTGTTTCACATTTTTTGGCTGACAATGTCCTCAACGATTTATAATATTCACCCACTTTGTTATAAAAATAAAAAAAGACGACTGTCTCTCCATTTGACGATTAACTTGAAGGAAAAGTTTACGACTTATGTTGTTACTTGTTTCTCTCTCTTTCCCTTTCTCTCTCTCTCTCTCTCTCTCTTGTTAAATCTTTGTATCCCTATAATTCTATAACTTGTTATGTTTGTAGACGCCCGAGGTTCCCTTATGAGTAGTTTCTATTATGAGTAGTTTATATATTACGTTCAAGATCAATTTAAGTCACCCCCCCCCCCTAAAAATGGGTGCCTCATTTGCCTTTATAACCTAGTGACTATGCCCCATATATAAAGTTAGAAATTTAAGGAACAATATTTGTGCTGTTACTGGTCAAAATGGTCATTAAAATACCACATTTGCTGTCAGTTTGTGGTCATCGGCAACACATGGTGCTTATTAGCAGCTTATTTAACTCAGTTCTGAAAGCCACGTTCGCATTGCGAGTTGTTGTTGTTGTTGTTTTTTTTTGTTTTTTTTTTAATGGGATATGCGACTGGCACGTGTTTCAAAACACGGCAAATCAGAGAACTCGGGCCATTGGATTTCTTGAGGCTACCCAGATTTTTTAACATTTTAATTTTAATGCCAAACTAATTTTTATTTGTTATGATTTAAAAATATGTTTAACATTTTATGGTAAGGGTGGGGTGAAGGGGGAGGCACAACCCCGGGTGGCACTTTTTCTCTTTATTGAGGGAAGTCACATCCGGATAATCTGAAGAGCTTTTTCGTGGGGCGGAAAAAAATCTTCGACGCCTCGGGCGACAATAACCAGTGGCGTAGCTAGGGTTGGTGTCACCCGGTGTGGTAAACTCATGGTGTCACCCCCCCCCCCCCCAAAAAAAATCGATTTTTTCTTGTTAAAATAAGTCCACAGTATAGCATCAACCTTGAACTTTTAATAAAGCACGCATTTGGATTGGTTAAATTTGTGAAAAATATATGTGTGATCGGTTATTCTTTTATGAATCTCGATTTTTGCGAGCAATGTGTGCCCTGTAAATATGCAATTTTTCAATCGGGTGTCACCCCTAAAATGGTGTCACCCGGTGCGGTCCGCACCCCCCGCACCTGCCTCGCTACGCCACTGACAATAAGCCCATCTACGCCACTGATTAGAGATCTCTGTTTATAAACTACATGCATTTCCATATTTAGACTATGTTTCGTTTAAAGTGAATCACAGACACAATAAAAGTTTTCACAAATTTTATTTCGTTAAAACTGAGAGTCAAAGAAAACAGACACTGAAGCGAGACTAGATAGTTGATTTCCAAGTCAATTTAGAGTGGTATGAATAAAATACCAGCCTATGCATTCAGTTTTGAATTCCGTAATTTTGATATCTTTTTTTTGTTTTCCCCAACAAACCCGGTCCAATCAAAGACTGAAAAATCATCCTTTGAGACTTTTTTGTTTTCCGGGACCCACACATATTTGTTTACTCTAAATTTATTTATTCTACTCTCTAGTTTCAATGTAAATTATTGTAAAGTTTATTTTAAATTTTTATTTGTATGTGTATTGGCTGCTGAGGTTATAATTTTTTTTATTCCAAAATGGTGCCGCTGTTGTAATTCTCGTCGTACTGTCAGCAACTCTGCATGGAAAGCACTTTCTGTTGGGAAGATGTGTGTCTTTACGGTTGTCGCAGCTTCGTTCCTTCCGTGACTGTGCCGGTTGTTGTCACGGGGACGTGACATGAACTTCTGTCATGGTTCTTGAAGGTATGGTTGTAGCCGTACCTGGCTAGACACTGGGCGAGTTGAAGGTCGCAGCGGCACGTGGTGTAGGCACATCGAGAGAAAAACTGGGAATCTATCAAAGAAAACCGTTTAAATTTTTTGTTTTAAAACATACACACATATTTAACACCACCCCTTCCCAAATTTTTATTTTTTATTTTTTTAATTTGCGAAAATAAATACTTTCCTGACGACTGGACAAGATCTTTTAAAACGTAATAAATTAGTTTCATGAAAGAAGATCTTGCCTGTGCACGTGCATCCAGACTCTGTGCAGTCCACATTGTACCCAACCAGCTGGGGATAGAACCAGTAGCAGGCAACATGCCCATAACAGGTGTCATGGTCACGGCAACACCTGCAGGAAAACGGGACCAGGGCATTGTTAAAAGAGACACCGGTGTTCAGTGGGGCATTTTAAAATCATGCGTCGAAAAGAATGCGTGGTATTTTGAGATGTTATGGCCTTTTACTTGTAGTAGTACGGTAATTCTTACATTAAGTACGGCACAGTCATTATTTACCCTCCCCCCACTTTTAAAAAAAAAAAAAAATCACGTTAAAGAATGTCATGCTCATTTTTTTAAAATCTATAGTTCATAATTTCTAATTTAATGAGCAGGTTTTTTTTTTTCAATAACACAAGCAAAAATTACAGTATGATTAAAACACAAAGGTATCGGTATTTTTTTAAAAAAAAAAAAAAAATCACGTTAAAGAATGTCATGCTCATTTTTTTAAAATCTATAGTTCATAATTTCTAATTCAATGAGCAGGTTTTTTTTTTCAATAACACAAGCAAAAATTACAGTATGATTAAAACACAAAGGTATCGGTATTTCGACCCTTGAGATCTGCTGTGCTGTAAAACACTGACTAGTGCACCAGTATAAACATCAAATGTATCTGTCCTGCACTACAATAAAGAGGTTAGATTTCAGTTAAACATAACACTCATTGATCTGTTCGATCCGCCGGGTGGATTAGAGTTAATCTAAGACTCACTGATCCACTCGATCCACCGGGTGTCCAGCCGAATTCCCCAACCCGCAGAAGCATCCGTAATTATTGTAGTCTAAACATCCCCTATTTGTGTGGGTAGAGATCAGCTCACACATCTGCAATATGTGGCGCTTCTGTAAATGATGGCGTGTGCCTGAAGATGGCGCTGCCTCAACCCCGGGAAGACATACTGTGAACCAGTGATAATAGAATTATGACATTGCTATTTTAAATTCAAATGTTAATTTAGTGGCATGTTCGATTCACCGGACTTTATTGGCACGCATGATATGCACATTTTAAAAATAACCCTGTGAGTCCAGGAGTGATATGGAAACCTCGCGAACTTGTCCTAGCCTTGCAGATGATAGGTAGGTCACATGTTAACTGGTGTAAGATTCCCTTCCAACCAGTGACGTACCAAGTACTGTCCTCGGAGGTTGGCTGATTCACTGCGAGCTATTCCCAGAGGGGCCGCCACAGAGGGCCCAACAGCGCACATAAATTGATACCGGTTAAGTTTTTTGACAGACTCTTTAAAATTTGTCTGGCAAGGAAACTCGCTATTTATAATTTATTGCAGCATTATCTTTTTTTCTAAAGAAAAGTTTTAGCGGTACCGGTACGTTTTTTGACAGACTCTTTAAAATTTGTCTGGCAAGGAAACTCGCTATTTATAATTTATTGCAGCGTTATCTTATTTTCTAAAGAAAAGTAGTACCGGTACCGTGTGAAAAAAAAGAAAGTAGCCCTTTTCATAAAGGACTTTCGTTAACATCAAATGGAACCTTCTCAATAAAGTGTTGGAAGTCCTTACCAAGAACTAGAAGTGATATCCACCCACAGAGCTGGAATGTAGACGCATTTGCTGTACACGAAGGGATCATGTTTTAGAACTGAAATTGAAACATTTTCGATAATAATAATAAATTATACATAAATAATTGATGCGTCCAGTGGCGTAGCTAGGTTTAGTGCGGCCCACCGGCGGGTCAAGACTTCGCAGGTCCCCTGTCTGATCCGACGCTCCTATCAATTAAAGTAATACGGTGAGGGATATTGATTTTTGATAAATTCCTTTACAGCTTTGAAGACCAGGAAACGATTTTTTTTTTAATTTTTTTTTTATAAAGTAAATTTAATGTAAAAATAACTATAACTTAAAGTTGTTACAGTTACAGTTCTCAAATAATCTATGTCATAATTGGGGAACAAATCTGGCCTCTTTTTGTGAAAACTAAATACAGGCAGCAAGAGTGTGAGAGCGAACCCGCTGAGGTCGGGGGTCTTTTTATTTTGTTTGCTGTGGTTTAATACCACGGGCGTTAAATGAAAGAATTGTAGAAATGGTGAATTGCATTCTACAGTGGGAACGAATGGCGTCATCTGAACCGTTCCACCTCCACTCAGAGGCGTAGCGTGGTGGGGGCAGGGGGGACAGATGTCCCCGGGCGCCAGCTAGTTAGGGGCGCCAAAATGTGCTTTGATATTATTTTATTGATGAAAATAATGGGTTTGAGAGTTGAAAAAAAAGAAAAAGGGGCGCTAAAAATGGATCTTGTCCCCGGGCGCGAATCTTGTCTGGGCGCTAAAAATGGATCTTGGCCCCGGGCGCGAATCTTGTCCCCGGGCGCCAAACCCCCTCGCTACGCCACTGCCTCCCCTTTCTGTTTATTTTGTTTAAATGACAGCCCCCCCCCCCCTCACATCCCCCAAAGAAAACGTCTTGACTGTTTCTATCTTGTGCGTGTTTTCTGCTCTTTATTGCTGAACAGGGCATTGATGTCCCCATAAACACATGTGAAAGTAACAACAGTGAAACCTAATAGGCTGGCATGGAAGATAACGCAGGAGAAGCATCGCTTATTCACATGATTCGAGGTCTGCGTCAAAGTAAAGAGTGTTAGCCCCGCTTGACCTTGAATTTAACTCGGTCGATGTCACCCCCCCCCCACCCCAAGACTATGGGGGTAGAGAATTTTCGCACATTAAAATATCACGATTTTCGTCTTTATAGTGATGTACATGTTTCAACGTGATCTAAAAATAAAAAAAAAATTAAAAATCTTAACCCATATCCAGTGGCGTAGCGAAGATGTTTGGCGCCCGGGGACAAGATCCATTTTAAAGCGCCCCCTTTTCTTTTTTTCAACTCTAAAACCCATTATTTTTACCAATAATATAATATAAAAGCACATTTTGGCGCCCCTAACTAGCTTGCGTCCGGGGACATCTGTCCCCCCCCTGCCCCCCATCGCTACGCCTCTGCCCTACCCCCAACAATGCAACCGTGGTGCTTGATTTGACAGATACGTAAAATAGATCGCGGCCGAAGTACCGCATGCAGCCCCCCAAGCTTTGTCCCGCTGTCCCGCAAGGTGGTCGGTGTCCAGGGGCCGCCGGTTGAGACCTTTGAATGCACCAAATTACCAAACTATAACAACTTTGATCTGGAGTTTCACACGCAAGATTTCAACCTTGAGCATTAAAATCGCCGATTGGCAGAAACCAATCCTGTCTCCTTTACCCCAGGATGAAGGTAGATGATGAGATATGGCGTGATCAGATCTCAGGTGTAAACAATTTACCCCATACAACAAACTAAACGTTGGCGGCCCCGTGTGATTACATGAGTTTAAGGTATCGGTGCAAGAGTACCTGAGATGCAGAGGCGTATATCCCGTGGGTCATGTCAGTCATGGCATTGGTGCTAAAGTTAGGAGTCCAACATGAATATTAATAAAATAAAATTTATTTTTTAGAACATCGATGACTAAATCAATAATAATATTAATAACCAACAAAGACAATTTCGTTAGTCGCTCAATAAATCTTCACATTTTTCAACAAATCAGATCCTGGAATTATTCAAAACATGATTTTATTTTTTATTTTTTATTTTTTTTTTGTGGCCAACAATTTTTATTGAAGGTCTGGTAGGTTATAATTCTTCAAATTCATCGTTGGTCGAGAGGCTGGCTGATGGTTGTCGTAGGTATCGTTCCACGCTAGAGGGATGTAACGAGAGGGTTGAAGTTAAATTCCCATCCTAAGCCTGACAATTATCGTATACTTTGTTTACCCCAGTAAAGCAACCAAACAAAAAAAATCTTCGCGTGATGTCCCTCATGAATGCTAATATTTCGTATGCTTTAAGTTCTTGTTTTAAAAAAAAAATATGATAAACTACAGCATGACTCGAGCCCCAAAACACAAGAGAAAAATTTAACTACCCCAAACGCCCCAGAGAATTTTCAAAGCAGATTCTTGAACTTTAAAGCTGCTGTCAACAATGTTATAGTTTCTTTTTTTTATTTAAATTTTTAAAACTTATTTCTTATAGTAACAAGTGTTATTATTAATCTGCTAAGGTATTTACATGTTAATCCTTAGCTTTAAGATTGTGTCACGGTACAGGGGAGTGCGGGTCGAAGAGATCAGGGTTCTCCAGTTGGCCATAGTTTGAAAACTACTTACATTAAAAAAAAAAAAAAAAAAAAAAAAAATTTAAAAAAAAAAAAAAAAAAAAAAAAAAAAAA